CTCTCCTCGCATGACAGCCCACCACCAAAGGGCGACGTGTCATCTGCCAAGCCGCCGCTGTCACGTGATGCCACCCCGTGACAAAAGGTCAAGAACGACGCTCACGGCTGACGATTGGCACCACTTTTTCCCCTCTCGAAGCCATCGTGTGGCTGACATTGGGGAAAAAAAGAAGACAAATGAGCAAATATATTACATGTCTTAAATGAATAAATAAGCAGTACATTGGCAATTATATCTGACAAATTTTGTCTCAAAACCTTTTTAAAATGTAACATTTAGGTGGCAATTCGATGTTTCGAGTGTTACATCGCAACCCAAAAGAAGAAATATATTGAAAACAAATGAATGACAAAAATTTGAAATGGAAGAAAAACAGAAAAAAACTTTTTTTTTCAGGAGGGGGTTGGTAGATATAGCTAAACACATTTTTGAATTATATTTTAAATACATATACAGACAGTTGCATAAATATTGGTACATGCACATAACTCATCGTTTTGGCTCATCAAAACCACCATATTTAATTAAAAAAAAAAAAAAAGGCTTTCATGCAGACTGTCAGTTTGAATTCGAGGCTTGTAAAAGTAATTGGGAGTGTTGGTGGCTCAGCTGTTGCATGGCCAGGACAGGTTTGGGACGGTTACTTTTTCTAAATATATTTTTTATAGAAAGTATTAGTTACCCGATACCTGTTAAAAATTGTCACTGGTAGTAACATAATGCAAGTCCCATAAGATTCTCGTGAGATAATTTGATGACTTTTAATTACTTTTGGATGATTTTAAGCTGAAAAATAAAAATATTTATCATTTTGCAATTTGACTAAACGTATTTTTCAAGAACATTTTAAAAATACTTTATCTTGTAATGAAACATGTAATACTTAACTCTTTTTTAAATTGCAGATACTATTTCCCTATTTCCCTCGTTTAGATGCTTGCTGAGCTGAAGTCTCGCCGGCAAGAAGAAACCGCTTGGAAAATCTTCATGTTTCACGTTTTTTGGATAGCAAAGACACACACACATACAACTACATACACATATGTATGTAGTTGTATGCGGACGCACACACCGGTATGAAAATACTCTTTTTTTTTTTTTTTTTTTTTAAAAAAGTCTGTCTGCGATGACGGAAATAACACACGAAAGATGAAAAACAGGCATTTTGATTCACAATGGCCTATTTGAGCATTGGGCTCCATTAGTTTTTCAATGGCAGACTTCTCAAGTGGCTGTTGGAATGACAATAAATTCCCTCGTGCTAATCATTCCCTCTGTGGAATCAAAAAGCCGTTGAAATTGTGTCAGAGAAAGCGGCCGCGCAAAAAAGAAAGAGCTCAGAAATTGCTGAAGTGTGTCGGTGCCATCTAGTGGACATAATAGTCAAATCAATATATTGGCTGACGTCAAAATGTCATGACTTAAATATGTCCTATTTATGATATTTACCTATTTATTAATGCATCAAATAAAAACAGAAAATGTTCGTGAATGTTTCTAGTTAGTTGTCGTATTAAAAATGTCCCATTTTAAGCTTGGAAAGACATTTTGTGACTGCAAAATTAAGCACAGATTTTACGAGTACTTTTTTTGCTTTTTTTTTTCCCTAGAAAAAAATAGATAAAATATTCATGCTACATTAAATATTTAAATGTTAGAATAAAATAGCTATCTGCTAAGTTTCTGCTTTTCTGAAGGATTGTGTATCTTTCCCACTAGAATGTTTCTGTGACAAATCATCTTTTTGTATTTTTTTTAAGCATCTGTCCAACATTTTTGTCCACTATTTTTTGTTTTGTTCCATGTAGTGCTTTTCCTACATCTGCAGTATTTGTATATATTTTCATGGAACGCTGTGATATTTATTTATATGGTTGTCCATCAATGTTGTGTATCATTTTCTAATATTTTGGCAAATATTTGGTATGTTTTCAGATATCAAGTATGTTTTACTATTTGTCTAACCATTTTCCAATTTATATATTGTGCGGTATACCAAATTGTTTCGTGTTGGTCTAACTTTTATTTTTTCATAATATCTTTACCATTACTTATTTTCCAATTTCTGTTTGTTATAATAATCATTTTAGTATGTTTTAATTGTAAAATGATTATAGGTGGACTCAGATGTCATGCGTGCGCATTAATGTCCTCAACATGCACATTAAGACATCGACAGGAAGATATGTAATCAGAAGTTTAAAAAATAAATAAAATCAAAAACTGAAGTGGATCGAAAGTGTACAAGCTCAAGGGAGACCAAAAGCGCACCCTCGAGGGACCCCGGATGACTCTCCAAAGAGTTAGTTAACTGAGACAATTGGGCCGCAATCATCTGTATTATCTTCATCTGACAGCCCCGCGTTTACATTACAAATTACAGGCGACCAAATTGCTTTTCTTGCCACCAGCCGTTGCGGGCAAATTATCTTAATTGTGTCGTGATAACGTCTGACAGCGAGAGCTCAAAAATTAGAAAACGCACATGCGCGCGCGCGAGCGCACACACGACTGGTGTGTCGATGGGACTATAGGGGCTCTTTGGCACCCTCTTGTGGCAAAAGCTGTACCTGTGCATTCGTTATCCGTCCATTACTGTATATCGATCGATCGATCGATAGAGAGATAGACAGAGGGATAGAGACGGAGGAAGAGGAAAAATACCATATTATTACGAAAGCAAGTAATATGGTTCAAGATTTATCTTAAATTCAATCAACGCTAAACTTCTACAATACAGTTCACAATCAATATTTATTTAAGAGGGTGACGAAACATAACAACTATAAATAAAACGCATTGTACTCACCCGAGACGCTTTTTTCAGACAAAATGTCTTCTTCGTTTGCTAGCGGTGAAAGCTAGTTCAAGCTAGCTCGTCGTTGTTGGGCTGGGAGTGGCGAATCAAACTTTCGAGAAGTTGAAATACGCCAGTTAGTTATTTCGTCCGACCAATCGTGACAATGTCCGGTTTTCTTTAAAAGTTCAGCTTGAAATTGAACTTTTAAAAACGTCCAACACATTCGTCCCCTCCTGAGCAGTTACCTGCGCTTAATTGTGAATCACATTGCAACTCGGTCAACCAATCAGAGGATGGGGAAAAATCCTGACGTCACTCTCTGGCCATACGAAAGCGCGGAATTTGAATCTAAAAGTCTGATTGGTTAAAATAATTAATAAGTATATATTTACATGGCAACATAAGGAAGCCGAAATCTGACAATAGATAACAACAACAATAATAATAATAATAATAATAATAAGCAATAAATCACGAGAAGCTGTGCAGCCTAGACGCACACTATGAAATTAAATTAGTTGTCCCTTGGAAGTAAATGAATAGAATTCATAAATGTAGTCTCTCTCTCGCAATTCTAACGTATCATGCAATGCGGCATTAGCAGGCAAACAAATTAGCATTTATGTTACGGCACTTGTAAACCTTCAAACGACTGATATTTTAACACACACAAAACAGCAACACACAATCAGAGCATGCAAGGCAAGTAAACAGTATACTGTACTGTATATTGAAACGAACAAACCATGTTAATTCATCGTTCTCGCTACTTAGCTTCATGCTAACATATCATGTGAAAGGTCATAGACGAGGCTTACAGAAATTAGCATTAACGTTACGGTAACGATATATTTTTACAACTGCTAGTTTTTCAATATTAATGCGATGTAAATAAATGACACAGCGGCTTGGAATTGTGATGTCATATTTTAATGAACATGTCCAATGTAACATTTCAATGGCCACAGTGACGTAACGTTGTATACTACAGCAGTGCCTTTCAGTGTAAAGTAAGAATATACTGTATCTATGTATTTAAAAAAGAAAAAAAAAAGCTAAAGAAACTCTTTGGTTCTGTTATTGTAATACTTATTTCCCTTTTTTACATACACTACATATTCATTCCAGTGGATGTGCCAGCTTTGGTTATGCATGTAAACTGTCTCCTCAATAATTATCAAGAATTGCATATAAAAGAGCGCTACATCATTTTAGAAAAAAAACAAACATATTTTGCTGGGAAAATGCCAAGTAATGCTGAAGGGGGTGTGTCTTGTGCATGAGAAATTTTGTTTTTGTTTTATGTCAGTCCTATTTCCTCCAGAACGCTGCGCGGTGTCTCTCCGTCCTGCAAAAACAAACACTATACAGTATGTAGAGGACAAACATGCAAACTTAGCTGACGTCATGATTATGTGACGCACACACACGGGTTACACTTTTTGCATGAGCATGCAACACACTTTCAAAACCTTTGTAATTAGAAATATTTATATTTAATAGTATAGTCTAAAACCAGTTATAAAATATATTATCTGTTGAAAGTAAATTACAAAACTGTCTAACATTTTACAATTGACACATTTCGGTCAATGCCATTTAAATGAAAATAGGTAAAACACAAAATATGTTAATATTAGAGATGCACCTGTTTACTAGGACCAAAAATGTTTAAAACATTGGCAAAATATTATCAATATACTATTAATAAAAATTGTGACTATATCTGCCCAAAGAATTTTTGGGGCCAATGTAATATAAATGAAAACAGTTCTCTTAACCAAAATATATTCATAAATTTTAGAGTTGAACCTGTAATAAAAAATGTACAGTTCTGTACAGTAAAATATTAAATGTTAGCTATAAGGTATTAACACAGATTAAAGATGGACCCATTATAATGAAAACGTTTTTTTCCCTGCATAGCAAAATATGATACGTACCTTTTGGGTCAATAAAATATAAACATTTATAAATTTTTTTTGTTAAAGTACATAATTCTTTTCACTCGATGCTGTACGGCAGCAGAACATAGCGGTAAAGTAGCAGCACTTACTTTTACATCCTAACAGCAGCGTTGGCACAAAGTCAGGACAACAACACATTCGATCAGAGTCACAAAAATGTGTTAAACTCAAAGCCAACAAAAGCAACAAAGAAGAAAATCTGAGTCAATTAAAAAAAAAAAACACCAGCGCAGAACAAGAACTAAAATAAACATTTATTATTCATTGACCTACATATCAAATTCTTGCACTATAAGTGTGTTGATTTGTCAGACTGCAAATACAGCTCGTGTGTCTATCAGCTCAAGCTTTGTTTTAGTATTACTCATGTGAAAGGCCAAGGAGGCCTTTGATTAATCATCGGTGCAAAAACAGCAAATACTCTTGTCATGTTAAAACCACACTAAAAAGACGAATGGAAAGTGATCCTTCTCGCGTCATGCTGGCTCGTGAAGTATGTGCTTATCAATACAAACCATTTAAAAATTACAAACAGACAAGATACACGAACAGGTAACACATGCATGTATGACATACAAGAAAAAGACGAAATACTTCATGTCCAGAAATTGAAATAAAAAAATTAAAAAAAAATTAGCAAAGCGGACAAAACAACAAGTAAATTCAGGTACTAGCTTAGTCACGGCCCAAGCTCAAAAGTCAAGGTACTACGGTCCAAGTAGATTGAGTTGCGAGCTTGGTCACGTGACGAATTAAACTCGTGAGTGAAGGTCCCACTGGATGGACAACAATTGTAACAGTTGTGCGTCTATCGTGTGTACAGTTGGTGTAGCTACGACAACGGCACAAGGACAGGGTGCAGAGCGAAAGGTTCTGGGCATGCATGGCGCAGGCACGGTGGGCAGCGGCGGCAGCAGCGGCGAATCAGTACACAGGCACATTAAAGAACTCATGACGGGGCTGAGGAAGAGAGAGAAGGCTTTTAGAACATGAGGACACGCAGCCATGAGGCCTCACTTTCTCTTTCGAACGACACCATGGCCTTCGCTTTTACAGATGCCACCTCTGCTCTGTAGGCGTCGTGTAAAGAGGCGCTTTGCAGTCAACAAAGACAGTTGTACCTTGCTGTGCGAGTGGTGAAAATGTGGTCAAAGTGGTGAAAAATTTTTTTTGGAGTGCTGGAACAGACTTTTCCATTCATTTGAACCCTTTCAGGGACAGCGGTCACAACAGTGGACAGCTTATCATCTTATCAGGTTACAGGATGCATGAAAGGGTTAAAGGGGTTCGTCGATTTGGGAGCCAATTGATTTAAGTTACAAGCATCGTCACAAAACAAATTCGACTCTTAGTCAAGGTACCACCGTATGTAGTAAACATGACTGAAACAAAGACAATGAACGCACAGTGGGACACACAACACTCTAAAATGTGCTCATCTAGACACAAAGTTGGAAAGGTGGAGGACCAAAAACTTGGAACAGGAACCAGAGCCAGGGTAGTGGACAAGGAAAGGCCTCAAAACCAGACCAAGGTGCTCTTAGTCTGTTTTTAGACCAGACCAGAAGCACTGGACCAGAACATCAGACCAGGAGAACTAGATCCAAATTCAGACAAGGAATACTAAGTCATGATACAAAACAGGAGTCCTGGTCCAGAACTCTGCCCAGGAAAACTTAAATAGGATCCAGACCTGGGCCATTTGACTGGTACAGTGTTCATGTCTGGAATCAGACAATGAGCACTAGACATGGAACCTGACCAGGAATGCTTGACCCAAAACCACATCAGGAGTGCCACACACAGAAGCACACCGTGAGTGTTGGACCAGCAGCGCTGATCTGACCAAATACCAGACAAAGGATACTTGACCCAAATTCAGACAAGAATCAGTCGTCTTGATCTGAAGCACAAGACCTGGAATCAGACCAGGTGTACCGTACCCAGACAAAGACCAGAAGCACTAGAAATGAACCAGACAGGGAGCACTGGGAATTGAAGCATTACTCAAACACCTGACCCAGACCAATACTTGGAACACTGAACCAAAAATCAGCCCACTCACACTAGAGTAGCAACCAGACCCAAAGCACTGGCTCAATAAAACAGATCACGACAAGAACCAGATCGCACCAGACATTAGGTAGAATGGAAAAAAACTAGACCGGAAAAGGAACCACATGAGAGGAGTGAACAAGGAACTAGACAGCACTACACAGGAAGTAAACTGGAATCGCTAGACGGGAGAAACTAGACTGGAACAGGAACCACATGAGGAGCACTGAACCAAGAACCAGACAGCAGTAGACATGAAACCGGACAGACGAGATGTGATAAGAAGACTTGCTACGAAAGGACTGTACTAGTACTAGCATTGGTGACCCAGACGGTAAATCCACAGACAGTATTCACCTCAGCGTGTCAAGTTCTGAAATAGTCCAGAAGTCTCTGAGGTCACATTAGGGACTGTCATACCTGGGAGTCAAACAAGTTGATCATAAAAAATAAGCAAGACGATGCATCCAACTCACTCCCGGTGGTCTCTGCAGGGAACCCTTCGTGGGGGTCATTATTCCAAACAGAGATCTGCTTGCCGGCACCAAACTAATGACCGCGCGGCTGACAAATGTTCCATTGAGGGCTTATTATGAAAAATAGCTTGGTCTAAATCCGCCGAGGTATGTTAGCGGTGTAATTACAAGCACGGTGCGAACCATTAATGCTCACCTCAACTCAAGCTTGTGCAGAAAACATTTGGGGTATTAAGAACATGAGGAAGCAGCTTTCAGTGTGATGCAGTCAAACGAAGCTTTGTAAAACACTTTATTGATTCTTATTTTTTGAGTAGGAAGTGACGTTCGTAAGTAGAGGTACCACTGGATGCCAAACTCTTAAAATGTATTTATGTATTTATTTTTTGGGGTGAGTAGCGAAGTTTTCGACCAACTCATGCCCATCAAGCATGCAGGTGCACAGCGTCGTTTTCACACCATCCATCCGTGCAGTATTTACCCACGTGAGGCGGCCCGTTACAACAGCTCGTCTCTGGGCAAACCTCCCCAGTCTGCACTCTGGTTCTACGAATAGACAAGCCAGCCAATCAGAGAGCTCCACAGGGTCCGAGCGCACCCGGGCTCCTCGGAGGAGACTTTAAGCGACTGTAATTACGCAACGTGAATATAAGTTAGCCGCTCGCTGGAGCAAGAGTTTATATTTAGAAGCAAATGTGTGCATGTTTTATGTGCCAAGCGTAAAACATTGCTTGACACCTGACCAGTCCCTATGATTGACTTTTAACTTTATTGCACCTTATTTTAGGACTTACTGTATCTCAGATGTCCCTAGGCCGTTGGCTGGGACCTTCAAAACAATATGTGTACTTTGGTTGGCATTTTTTTTTTAGAGTTGTCTATATCCAACGGTATTGCACAATCATGATGCAAATATAAGTTGTCCAGATCGTATTTCCACACTGTATCTCTCCTGCACCCCCCGACCAAGAAGACTTGTGCGATGGTGTCACAGAGTCATTGGGGTTCATTTGTTGGCCAGTTGAAAGCTACACTACCATGACTACGACTGCGTGAGCTAGTCATCTAACACTAGCAGGACGAAACGACGCGTACCTGCAAACATGCGCGTCTGAGAGTCTATGTTCTGCAAATCACAAAAGGCAAAAGAATACACACAAGCAAAGAGAAAGGACACATGATTAAGAACAAAAAAAAAAAAAAAATCACAAGAATGTCAAGAAGGTGGAAGAAAGGAAGGAACGCGAGCATGCAGAGTGAAGATCTTTAAAATGCAGCAGTACCTTGATTTAGCCCAAATAATCTGTTTCAGCTCCCCCAAATCACCACAAGTTGTTGTTTTTAGTGAAAAAAAAAACGGATTTGTGTAAAAACATAAAAACCCGTTCCTTTGCAGCTCGTAACTGGGGAAACTCGTAAATCAAGGTACTACTATACACGCCCAAGTGACAAAAGAGGCGGCATGAGGTTTGAAACGATCGATTTTTCTTTGCGTTGGTTAAAACTTAAAATACTTGTACTTGTATCTCTAGGTCTTGTGCTCCAGGGCTCCCTCTACTGTACTGGAGTGACATTTCACATCGGTAATAATGGAGAGTCGTAAAGGGGTCACCCGACTGCAAAGGGTTGGAAAACGTCCCCTCCGGGGGAACTTAAGATGGGAGACCATGAGATAAGAAAAGTAATTGCACTGATCGAATCTGCTTTATTCCGAAAAGGTTGCCACCTTTGAAAATTCCTGGCATTTTTAACTCCTAACTGATGTCAAAACAACACGTGGGCGTGTGCTCCTCACCTCTTGCAGCAGGTCGCCCTGCTCGATGGCCTTGAGCACGTTCTTCTTGGATGTCTCTTGAGCTTCGCCACCCAGCAGGAACTCGTCCAGGATGAAGTAGGCCTTCTCAAAGTTGAAGATGATGTCCAGCTCGCACACCTTAATGGTGGGGATGGGGGTGGGTGAGGAGGTGTGGAAAAGTTACGTGGAGATTACGTGTGGAAACGGTCGCTGCACTAATCCACCGGCCGTCCCACTCACACTGCCAAAGTATTTGTCCAGCAGCTCCACGTATCTGTGGATGATCTCCAGCGTGATCAGCTCGTTGTCCTGCTCCTCGATGGCGCAGCAGAAGTACAAGCTGGCGTATCTGCCGAGAGACAACGAACACGGTCATCGCACTGCTTTTGGGTTTACGCTTTCGAAATGATTTTTTTTTTTCCCCAGCCATGTGGCATGATCTTTCCAAACCCCTTTTTTTCCAAAAGTCTTCGAGCCACGAGTGATGCAATTCTGAATACAATGAGGTGTCTACGCAATCGGCAGAAATGAATCTGTACGCAACTTACCTTCACGGCTGACCACTTCCTTCTGCACAGTGATTCACTTTCAACACAACAGGCTTGTCAAATATTTCCAAGCTAACTACTTCCACTTGTTATTGCCTCGACAGACTTTCAATCTTGAGGCAACGTAATGCTGTGCGGTCCCTGCAAAGTGAGCCACGTAGCGCTTCTCAGACAAGTCAAGTTAAAGGAATTTTTTTTCGTAATATTTAAATTTGGTGACAAATGAGCAACAATAACTTTTGATGTGCGACGGACCAATAGTATCGATTTGTGAATAAATAAATAGGCCATACTTGGAGAAACAAGGTTTGTCATTTAGACAACTGTACACGATGATAACATTTTTTTTTTTGGGGTGGGGTGCATGTGCGGATGAGTTCTGAGTGAAAGTAAAAGTCCATTAAACAACAGCTCCACCATCACCACCACGGAAAAAAAAAACGCTCACCCGTCACTTTGTCCTCTCAGTTGTAATCAAGAGAGTCAAAGGCATGGTGCTGAAGCAGCGCTTCTGCCTTATGAGAGGACTTGCAGGTGATCTGCTGGCCTGCACGTTCTAAAGTTAAGCCTCTTCCTGCCGCCCAGCAGGGGACTCATTTATCCAGGATAATCCCTCACGCGCTCTTAAAGCTTGTGACCACTGGGTGATGAAAACAGGAAGCCGAGAACGGATATTACGCTTTGCTTCATAAAAGGGATACAGGACAACAGTGAAGGGACTTCCCCGTTCCCGACTGCACCACGTTTTGCACTGAAAAGCAACAAATGGACATTTCCCATTCCCTTTAAAAGCCCCTTCCAACACAGAATGGTTGCACAAAGTTGACCAGACAATTTTTCGTTTTTGGAGGTACAAAGGCCCACTTTTACGTTGTGTGTAGAAACGGACATTTTGCGACTTTTTACGCATATTGATGTTCCGTACAAACAACAGCGACAGAAAGTGGTGACAAAAAAAGTCGATGATGATACAGAAGTCTTTATCTACCAAGATAGTTGAGATAGTTGTTGAGTTGATGTATCCCGGCTGATTCGGGGCTTAGGCGGGACACACGGTGGCTAGCCAAATCCAGTTTTATAAAACTGTTTAAACCGTCACAGAGACACGCGCTCACCTCTTGTAGACAATCTTGAGGTCTCTCCACTCCAGGAAGCTGCACATTTTGGCCTTGCGGGCCAGGATGGTCTGCACGAGCTCCCTAGTGATCTTCTTCTTCTCCTTGTCCGACAGGGGCACGTACCACTTCTGCAGCCGTAGCTTGCCCTGTCTGCTGAACAGAAGCATGAACTGCATCTGAAACAAAAAGATCGCATCCGAAGCATCAGACCGCAAGAGGAGAGTGACAGCAAGAGGAAATGGTGGTATGAGATGGTCGCCAAAGTGTTTCAAATCACTCCAGTCAACACTTGCTTGTGTAATGTCACATAGTAGTCGGACCAGCGACCAATATGAAACTTTTTCCCCCCCATTAATTAGCTACAGCAAATTCAACTTCCTCCGCTACTGCCACTTGTTCGTAAACCGCTAATCCAAATATTCAAAGTAGCATTCGGGGACAACACGAGCTAACGGGAAGTGCACGGCAGTAGAGTACCGTTAACGCAGTTATTCCGCAGGTGCTCGTCACAAAAACAACACAACGCGTCCTTTGAAACGTCTACAAAAAACACACTTTGTCAATGAATTACCGTTAATTTGGACACAGTTCCGAAGAAGAGGAATAAACGAGCCACCCATCAGCAGCAACAGCACTCAGTGAGAAGCTGCCGATCCCAGTCGCAGTCAAGCTTGTGATTGGTCAGAGGCGCCGGTAGCTCGACGCTCATTGGTTTAAGGGTTTTCCTTCCGCCTCTTGCGCCTGCTGTGATACGCCTTCCTGGCCCTGTATGGCTGAAACAAACGTCGATCAAAATACACAGCAGCTGATTGGACGATGAAAAGAAAACCGTCTGCTGAGAGCTCAAATTGAAACAATAATAAAAATGTCTACTCAGATAAACTGAACATTTTTTGTTCAAAATAAAACCAGATGTATATAATTAAAGTATTTTTTTACTTGTACAGTACAGTGTAATAAATTAAAAATAACATGCTATTTTTTTATACAATATGAACAATTTTAAAATTTACAAGAAATCTATTTTTAACTGTGTGGAATGATAATTAAATACAAATATTTTATATATTGTATTTTTTTACTGCGCAGTAATTAATAAAATAAAATAAATATAATAACTACAAAAAGAAAATAAGGAATATATCAAACGTTGTTTAATAGTAATTCTACAATCATTTCACAATTACATTACATTAAAATAAAATTATTAAACGCCAATTAAAAAAAATTGTTTGATTTGACCAATATAAAAAACATAAATGAGCATCAACACACCACAGGTGACACAATATATGTGAAATGTCTGCACATTTTCAAGAAAATAACACAACTATTGCAGAGTGACAAAGTAGAGAAAGCAGCATCTCACCCGTTGAGTGAGTGAGCCAATAATGCGTATTAGATGAAGCCCTCACACTTTGCTGCATTGGATTAGTGTAATCTCAATCCCAATCCCAATCCGGTGCACGGCTCGCATCCCATTTCCAGCAAGGCCGAGCAGCAAGATGGAGGCCAGCGTTCGTTGGACCGCGCTCCTTTTCCTCCTCATCCTTTTGCAGGGTAAGTCCGCAAACTTCATCAATATCATTATCAGCATGATAAATTGTCATTTTTATTAAGGCACAAAACACAGTGGAACCTCTGAAAGCGACGACACAAACTATTCGGTTCCTCGTTTTGGGTGGACACGTCTGGCATAACTGAGCATGTGAAAAAGTCGCAAGGAATGATACCCGAAACTGAACAGGAGGTCAGCCATTTTGGTTTGAAGCAGTTTTGAGGAAGATCCAGGACTAAATTTAATATTTTTTGAAGAAGCTCCCAACACCTCAAAATGTCCATCATAAAAGGGCGCATGAAAAAAATCTCAGGACCCGAGACTGAAATCGAACAGGATGAGTAGCTTCTACTTCATCTTCGGGGTTAAAAGCCTGAGATCGTCTTCAAAGGCCAAATTGATCCATTTGTGTGTTCGTTGGATTTTGGCGGTTCCACTGTAGACTGAACCATGTTTAACTATTGTCTATAAAACCGTTAGAGATGTCTTTTTACGTTCCATGCTTCCATGGATGTGGTACAGCCCTGACTGCTGTTCACTCTCAGGAGGTAAAAAAATGAACCAAATGTCTTTGAGTCTTTTAGACTTTTCCACCACCACCACGTCACGCGTACTTCTGGGTGGCAAAAAAAACCTTCAGTCAATCACTTTTGCACCACCCGCAAGTACCCTGGCGCCTGCTGTCTTCCAAAACTATAAAAGTTGAATCCCAACCCTTTTCCGTTTTTGGTCGGCGCAGGAAGAGGAAATCCTGCAGGTGGAGGAGGAGCTGCAGGAGGAGGATCAGCAGATTCAGGAGACGTGGACCGCCAGGAACGTGCAAGCGTGTACGTGCGACTGCGAGGCCGTCGCGCCCACCGGCCTCCGGGACACTGCCACGCCCACCTCGCCGCCTGAGCCGTCTCAAGGCCAACCGCTGACTTGCATGCCGGGTGAGGTGACGTCACACGATTTTTAGCTTCCATGCTAATGGTCATGTCATCTTGTGATGCCTGAAGAGGAGAAACACATTTGTAAAAATAACACCCCCGCGTATGGACTGACAAAAATGTGACATTTAACAAATTATGTATGTTGAATGTTAAACCAGTGTGACATCATACACAGTTTGAACATTAAAACCACTTCAGGAGGCTTGCACCTGTGTAAAAAAAAAATCAAGATGACATTGTTGTAAAAATAAACCAAATTTTATTTACCGATGAGAAGAAGTCAAGCGTTTTTGTGCTGGTCTCATCCACGCAGAGTGTCCGTACCACAGACCTCTGGGCTTCGAGTCCGGTTCGGTGACGTCGGACCAGATCAGCTGCTCCCATCAGGACCAGTACAGCAGCTGGTACACCTCCTGGGTCCCCAACAAGGCCCGACTCAACAACCAGGGCTTCGGGTACGGCCCCTCAACACCCGCCTCGCGGGATACACCTTGCAATGGGTTACCTGGCAACAAATTGACACCTTCGGACAATTTGAGTGTTTCACAATTTAGAGCTCTTCATGAACCAAAGCTATATTTTTTGTGGGGTACACCCGGAACTGGTTGTCGGCCAATCAAACGACAAATGAACAACCTCACTTGTCTGTTCATGCCTGCGTGCGCTTCAGGTGCGCGTGGCTGTCCAAGTACAACGACCAGCACCAGTGGCTGCAAATCGACCTGCAGGAAGTGGGCGTGGTGTCGGGCATCCTGACGCAAGGTCGCTGCGACTCGGACGAGTGGATCACCAAGTATAGCGTCCAGTACCGCACGGTGGAAACGCTCAACTGGGTCTACTACAAAGACCAGACGGGAAACAACAGAGTACGTACGCACACAGAAACTAGATAGGGCAGAATAGATCATGACATTGGAGTGGGGCCTGACCGAGTCCAATGCGACTTCCAATATTTCGATGATAACCCGGCAAGGCAGGGCATCAACGCCTTTCTTTACTCACTATTAGCCTCTCACACCATACTAGCACGGCAAACGAAATATGAAAATACCCAGGTTATCTTAGCACTAAGCTAGGTGCTGGTGCAACACAAGCGGATGGATTAAAAATTGGTCCAAAAGAACATTCTGGGTTCCGCCGTTGGTCAGTACTGTATACGGCAAGGGATCCTGGAGATTAAAGTAAGTCATTTTAAACTAAAAAGGAAAATATTTCCATAGGTTTATGCTGCTGTGTAATATATATATCGGGCCCTAATTATGATTACTTACAATCGATAATGTGTTGTCCGCCTTCCTCTCAGGTCTTCTACGGAAATTCGGACCGCTCTTCCACGGTGCAGAACCTTCTGCGCCCTCCCATCGTGGCGCGCTACATCCGCCTGCTGCCTCTGGGCTGGCACACCCGCATCGCCGTACGCATGGAGCTGCTCATGTGCATGGGCAAGTGCGTCTGAGGGAGCGGCCTGGGCAATATGCTCCCGAAACTCGATGCTTGCTCTTCTCAAGGGAGGAAATTCATGAAAAAAAAAAAATCATGCACTTTAACATACAGCTAAATAGCATTCAGATCATAAGAATGTTGAAATAGTGAATTTTTATGGCAAAATGTGACTTGTCCATGCCACGTTTGTGGGAAAACATTCAGTATACCAAAATAAACTGACAAATAATTATTGAACTTTTTGTGTCGTCATCTCTTTTGATTCAAGACATCAGAGTAGGATTAGTCCCAGAAGCTTGTGACACACTTTTTTTTTCCTAGAAAAAGAGATAAATATTATTGGAAAAAAAATATTATTGGAAAAAAAACAAATAACGTAATGATTTTCAAATGATTCATATTCATGATAATGTGGCCCAAGTATTCCCCCCAAAAATTACAATGTGCACACGTGTCAAATGTAACCAGTTTGCAATTTATTTGAGCTTTACTGTTCCATTTGTAAACATGAATATTCCACATTTGTTTGTTGCAGGGGGAGGAAAAAACATGACGGACTAGCCTACAAATGTGTAACAAAATCCCAAATGTAACACTGTGTTTGCTTTGACCCGCCTGTAAACAAATGTGTGTGTGTGCGTGTGAAGAAAGAGCAGATGACAAAATCTCCCACTTTAGTAGTATTAATATAATACACATTCTTTCTCCAACACATCTTGTCGCCGAGTAGAATTTACAGAGAGGACACCTTCGTGGCAACTTTGAGAGTTCCTGCTAAGCTATTTTACAAACAATATTGTACTTTTTGAAAATAATAATAATACTAAAGAGCACAGTAACTGTACAGTAATGTGTTAAAAATTAGGACAAATCCAAAGTTGTTGAAACAGATTGTCAACTCAGCTGATGTTTGTGTGGGTGTCTTACATTTCAATGATGTCACGTGACGTTACCGTGCCGACGCGATTTGCCATAAAAGAAATACCACGTCTGTCACGACTAAATATAATTCTCCTACTCAATTCAAACTAAAAATACACTTGAGTTTTATGTCTATATATATTTTTAAACCCAAATTGTCATCATTATATAATGTTTATCAAACATTGGAAGCCTTTAAAAAAACATGAAGTAAGACACAAGAAGGCTTTTGGCCTCCCGTTTGCAAGCGGTGCACTGTGCGCGTGCTCTTTACGTGAACATTCCGTCTGATCCACTCTCCAACGCTCATTTTAAATGCATGTTTCGGTGTGTGTGTCCTCAGTATCTCACAAAAATGAGTGCGCCCCTCACATTTTTTGTAAAAATTTTATTTTATCATTTCATGAGACAACATCTACAAAATGTCACCAAATTTAACACGCCTGCTCCTCATTCCGTCAATTCCAGACTACTTTGGAACACTAAAGAGTCAAATGATACCAGGGGTTGGGAAAATTGCGAATTGGGCCCAATGTGGACATTCTCACTTCGGGGTGTTCTCACTTTTGTTGCCAGCAGTTTAGATATCCTGGCTGTGTGTTGACTAATACTGTATTGAGGTCCCATGAAGACAAAGACAATCCATTTTTTTTACAAAAACTACAAAAATAGGAGAGGCGGATTCATTTTTGTAAGATGCTCTGCTATGTATTGTACTGTATGTGTACGTGTATGAACGTGTGTGTACGTACATGTACGCATGTGTATGTGTATAGAAAGTGTATGTACTCGGTCTACGTATGGATAAAGTGTATATGTGCGGTGGTAGGTGTCAGGAAGTGTTGGGGAGTCCACCCGAGGGGCGTGAGTGAGTTCAGTACTTCCTTTGCGACCTTGGTTCACAGCGCCGTCTCTTTCAGATCGTTGAGGTTGCCCATGCGGGACCTGGAGGGGCGCCCGAAGCCATGCCCGTTCTGGCCCCCTTTGACGGCCATCTGCTCGGGGTACGGGTTGCCGGCGTGCCAGCCGGGTTCCAGCTGCGGGTAGGCCGACTGCCTGCTCTTTACCTGCGGGGTGTTGACCCCCGAGTGGGCGCGCCCGTCGGAGAAGGCCCCCTGGGGTGCGGAGGCGGGGCTGGGCAGCGGTTGGTAGCGCATGTCGGACGCCGCTGTCTGATTGGATGAGGATGAGGAGAGGTGCAGGAGTTTGCGCAGCGACTTGAGCGGTTGGCTCTGGGAGGACAAAAATAATCGGTGTGACAGGGGATCTTTCAGAATATGCGGCTGGAAACAACAGTGGCGGGTTGTGCGTTCAGAGGGGACCATCTCTTCACATCCACCTCTTAAACACTTCATCACTGTGAAATGAATGCCCCCCCACCGGTGAGTGTGAATCGGCCATCTTGTCGGCCCACTCCTTGTCACGCTCGCGTTCCCGCTCTCGGCTCTTGTCGCGGGTGCGGTGGCGACCGCTCGGGTGGGAGCGCGACGTCTTCTGCAGGACCGCCTCCTCGCTGGGGACCTGCCAAAGACAAATACATACAGAATTCTTTTGTCACCAACCTCAGGAAATCACATCAACTTTCCCTGTTGAAATGATTTCAACTGCCATTCATTGCCTCCAGGCCCCCCCCCCGCCCCTCTACCCCCCAAAAATTATGGGGTTGCATTTTCAAAAAAGAAAAATAGGACAGCATTGTATAAAAAGACAAGACAGCGTTGATAAGCTAGTTTTATCAAATCTCTTGACATGAATGTATTTCCAATGAGAACATGACAAGCATCAACAGCATCACTCTCGCAGCTTCTCGCTCTGAGAAGTGTGTGTGTGTGTGTGTGTGTGTGTGTGTGTCACAGTGGCAGAAAATGAGAAGCTAAAAATACACCGGGCTGCTTCCTGGAGGCCAGATTGCGTTTATTTGCCCACTCATCCTAACTTGACAACAAAGCAGCAGCCCCAAAAGAAAAACGAGCCCCCCAAAGTCCTTTCCACGGAGCTGCTCATGAACTGTTTGACGTCACGTTTGAAATTCCCGTGGCGATGACATGTTTCACTCCTCGCCTCCATCAACCTTTCTGGCCGGGTGTCAACTACTCGGGCTAGGGCTTGGTCATGATCTCCTACGAAAAGCTGGGTTCGCGGTTTACTTTTCAAATATTTGTTTTGTGGCATTTTTGTTTGGTGGTGTGCCGGACTTTGATTTTGCTGATCTAAGATTTTTTTTTTTTTTTTTTTTAAACAACACCCTATCAGATTGTACTTTCGAAAATAAAAACATACTGTAATGACATGATTAAATATAACATAAAGAATGAAATCGTTTTTGCCACATGTTTTGCTTCACTTCAATGAATGCGATGCTTGTTCCGGTGTGCATGCCTTGGCCACCAGGGAGCAGTATACTACAGACATATTGACAAACTGAGACGGTCATAAAGCACTCCGATCGCCATAGCAATTCTTGCCGCTCTTTGCAGAGGATATACCTCTGTTAATTTTGTTTTATTTTCTGTCTCCGTGTGTTGCTCCACCGTTTATGTGTAAATATCCATCGCCTAAAGGAGTAGAATATGACACAGATTTGATTTTTTTTAGCCTGTCTATGGCATTTTGCATTGCTTCTTAACATTAAGCTAAAAGGACTCGTTGCCGAAGATGAGGCTATGCAGTTACTTAAAAGACACAAAGTGTGATTCCTCTTTGTATCATTTTTAGTTTGACAGTGAACGTCAGCTGGGGGTGACAACAAAACGGCTTGAAGTATCCTGCTTTTTCCTATTCTCTGGGCTAAACGCAGCCAAAAGATATTTCTTGGTGGCAGGAGGCCTTCCGTCGGCAACTAGCATCTGAAAAGGAGATAACCCCGATCATAACACCCTTCACCTGTACGGTAGTGAGGCGTCAACTCACCATCTGAGGCTTTTTCTTCTTCTTCTTTATTGCTCTGAAGAAACCCTGCTTCTCTTTCTCCTTGGACGGCTCGACCGGATTCAGCACCACCGTGTCAGGGCCCGTCCTCACGGTGGGAGGGGGGGGGTGGGGGGAGAGTCAGCGCGTTAAGAGCAGAGACGCTACGACAGAGAAGCGCGATTTGATGCGCGGGACGGGGTGCTCACCAGGGGTCGAAGGCGGTCTGGCGTTTGGAGTGGGCGGCCAGGCTGCCGGCGTCGCCCGTCATGGCCGAGCCTCGCACCTGAGGGCGGCCGTCATGGAAGGAATTGTCTGGCCGAGGAGAAGGGACTGTTCAACAAACACCACAGAGACCATCACTGGCCTTTTAGGCACCAACACAACACAGCAGAACCACAACAGATACCCAGTATCTACCTGTACCATCCAAAGCACAACATACAGTCGGTCAAACAGAGTTTTCGAGGGAAAGCAGATTTTATGATCCAAAGCATACCACATCAGATGCCGAACATCAATCTATATCCAGAAGCAACAACTCATGATCTAAAGCATATCGCAGCCTATGTCCAATTATCGGCATGCCTATCCGTATATGGGAAAGATCATCTCGTGATCCAAAGCATACCACATCATTGGTTCAATATGTAAAGGAGCATGTGAGCATCCAAAGCAAATCGCATCTTAGGTCCAATATTTATCGCTGGAAAGGAATGTTCCATGATCCAAAGCATACCGCATCTGTCCAATATCTCCCAATGTAAAAGGACATGTCACAATCCAAAGCATACCACATCAAGTCGAATAAACTATCTAGGTAGGGAACATTTCATGATCCAAAGCGCACCAGGTCATATGCTCAACACCTGACAATCTATGTAGGAAAACGAACACGCCCCGATCCAAAGCACACCACACCACAGCGCATTTCCGATCAACCCACCTCTGTAGAAGCTTCCGACCTTGCGGGGCATGGACTCGCTGTAGATGTTGCGGTTCTCCTTGGAGGAGGCGCCGCCATCGTCGGCCTGAGGCTCGTGGTAGAGGCCCACCTGAGACACAAATGCAATCAATCACGCCACGGTCCTCGTGTACCCCATTCGGAATAATAATAATAAGAAGAAGAACAGCGAGTGTTGACATTATAGACTGTGCTGTATATGCACAATCCAAAACAAGGCTTCAGCCGTCACATTAGCGCAGTAGCAAAGCTGGCAGAGATGGATGGTAGACCGAGCTATTACAACACGGAGAGAGACGGAGAGTGTGCAAGGGAGTGAGTGAGAGAGAGAGAGAGAGCGAGAGAGAGAGAGAGAGAGAGAGAGAGAGAGAGAGAGAGAGAGAGAGAGAGAGAGAGAGAGAGAGATGGACCTCGCTTTTTTGCCTCTGGGTGTGAAAGTTGTCCCTGGTGGAGTCCCTGACTGGGGGTCTGCTGAGTGGGGCCGCCTCAGTGGGGGCCTGATCACTCTGGACACAACACAACAGCCACACGTGAACAACAGGAAGCGCACCACTCCACAAAGGCTCACAACACGATGCAAAAGCCCGCAGGAGCCTCTCTCTCGTCTCGCACCGTAAAACCCGCAGGTGGTGCACATCTTTTTGTCGTGCGTTGGCTCTCAACTGTCGTCACCTCAGAACCTGCATTTTTCCGTTGTGGCAAGCCACTTTTACAGAAGTAAAGAACAATAAATGTATTGTTCATAAATTTCCTTTGAAAAGAGGTGTTACATCCCGATCATATTTGTAAGTACAATCACGCACGCTTATATGTTCAGCGCGCCTTTCAGCGCAGCTTATTAAAAGTGTTGACGATAACCAAAAATTAACATTTTGCACTGATCTTTTCGTTTCGGGAAACTTTGGATTCAGACCAAATCACTCGCAACGGTTTTAACCGTCTCAATTATTCGGCTCAAAATGCACCAATGGCAGTTTTGAGGTGAGAGGCTGTTGAAAGGCCGCAGGACGTTGCGTTTACATGGCGAGTAATAACGTTTCTGACGCATGCCCGTCAAAATGTTAGGATCCAAATGAAAGATAAGTTCCACCTCATCATTAGAGTCAATATTTGTTTGAAAAACACTGACGGCGCTAAGTGAACGGGCCTTCTTGTACTGCGTGAAGACGTGTTTTTACGCTGCCTGTAACCTCGAAGTGTCGTAACCCTTCAAACTATTTTGGCTGCGTGTCCGCAACCTTCCTTAAAATGCTCCGCGATCTGCTTATGGCCCCCAAGCCACCGGTTGAGAATAATAAACAACAAGATGTGCGCTTATATGGTTTCTTACAATAGCTTCACTCTTTACTGGAAGATTATAGTCAACCCGGTAAATCGAAAAATAAATAACGCTTTTTAATCCGGTCTATCTCGCAGATTTTACACCATCGCGAGTGGGTCTAGAACGTATCCGCCGTGATAAACGTGGGCTTCACCGGAGCGGATTTGACCGGAGAGGAGCGACTGACCCGGCTCATGTCCTCCTCCCGGGAGGCCGAGTGGCGAGGCAGCGTGCGGTGTTGCAGCTGCGGCGACAGCAGCTGCAGGCTGCTGGCCCGGGTGGGCACCCCCTGCCCCACCAGCAGCCCTTCGTCGCCCCCGTGAGTCCTCTGGTGATCCCGCCGCACGTACATGGAGTGGCGGTGAGGCCTCTGCTGTGACGAGAAGGGGCTGCTGTAGCCCTGAGCGTAGGGCTCATGCGGAGCCGACAGGGAGTGCGCGTGGCTCCGCTCGCCGCCCTCGTTGGGGTCCAGGCCGTCGGGTGAGTCCTTGTGGCGGGCCGACGAGCGTCGGTAGGACGAGTCCAGTGTGTTGCTCTCGCGCTCGGTGCGCGTGCTCCCCCGTCGGTCCGAGCGCCGCACCGCCGGGCTGCTGGGCGCCGTTAGGTCCAGGCAGCTAGAGGGGAAGTAGCGACCGGCCGGCTCGTCGGCGTACAGGTGCACGTCGTTCAGGTTGCCCACCGACTTGGCGTCGCTGAGCGTGCCGTAGCTCTTGGACAAGTTCAGGTAGGAGAACTTGGGCGCGGGGGCCTCCATGTAGTTGTGGCGGCCGTGCTTCTCCGTTGACTGGAGGGTGCTGGTCTTGCCCTCCACGAAGGAGTGACGGTGCTGCTGCGAGCGGAAGTTGGATTTGAGGTACTTGGCTCCGGGGCCATCGGAGGCTTTGGGGCCTGGGCTGACGTCGAAGTCGCCCTTGTTGGCCTCGGCGGGGCTGAGCAGGTGGGGCAGGTCCACGGCGCAGGAGGCCGAGTGGTTGAACATCTGTGACGGGTAGCTCTTGGGGTGCAGCGTAGGGCTCAGGTTGATTGGTGCCGGCAGGTTGCCGTTGAGGAAGCCGCCCCCGCCGCCCCCGCCACTCTCGCCGCTGTTGCTGTTGGGGTGGAGGTCCTCGTGGCGCGGCAAGCTGGAGCAGTCGCGTATGCTGGAGCGATGGCTACCGGAGCTCTTCAGGCCGTGGCTCCTGGCAGGCGACCAAACACAGAAAGAAGTCGTAAAAGTCACAGCATCTACGAGTTGAGTGACTTCCACTTCCCTGCCAACGTTTTATTCTTTCTTAAAAAAATATTTATGTATTTATTTTTTGGTGGGCGTTGGGGGCGAGTGGGGAAAAAAGGAGGTGTTGGTTTGAGACCGACCTGCTGGGTGTGGTGTCGCCATGGTGAGGCTTCCGCTTGGTCGAACGCACGGGCGTTGGCGTGGGGGGCCCGGGCCGCTCCACCAGCCTCAGGGTCTGGAAGGCGTGGTGGTTGAGGCTCTGCTCCGTCAGGAAGCGCTCGGCAGGGTTGAGTAAAAGAAGACTCTGCAATGCACAAAGAAATAGTGGCGCTCCTCTGACTCACCGCCGTGATCAGACAAAGTACCTTCAACAGGTCCAGCAGGGCTCCGCCGACGATTCCCAGGTAGCGCCGCTCCAAGGTTTGTGGGTGGTTTACAGTAGGGAACTCGGAGAAAAATCAACAAGATACATGAGATGCACACCAGTGTTGATAGTGAGCCACATCAGTAAAATGAAACCGTATCACGATACTGGCACGTCAGAGTCCCGTTTGTGCTTTTGCTTGTTAAAGCAGAACATTTGAGTGGGCCTGGTTTGTTAAGAAAAAAAAAATTTGGCTGTCAGCATAAAAAAATCAGTGTGATAAGGCTTTTGAAACGCAGTCAGACGTCACTTGATGTTGGCCATTAACCGCAAATGCACTTGTGGGGACAAGTAACCTCAACAACGATTATGGGAGCTCGCTGTCAAAATAACAGCCCAGCAAAGCAATTGCATTGATGTCCATGTATTATTTGGAAGGCTTTTATTTTGAAGTAGGCATTCGCAAGTTGGCCGAGTTTCATCGAATGGACAAGTGTTGTTGCACCCGGCTTGACTTGGCTTTCGGATGATGCAAATCAAATAAACGGTTACCCGAGGCAGGAAAGAATCCTCGAGCATTTTTCTTTTTTTTTTTTAACGAGATACCCAAATCACTCAAGGACTCATTTCACCCCCCCAAAAAAAATTATGTCAGTACAGAACAGTATACCTATCAGGGATTGACAAAGGGGAGCAATTTGCAAAGTCATCATTATGCCTCCCTTCGCAGCGTGGGCATGTAAAAGGAAAAGGAAGGACGACCAGGCTTCCAGGACACATAATACACTATGAGTCAGTGCGATTCAATCAGTCATGGCACAGCCTGAGGAAGAGAGCTTTTTTTTTTTTTTTTAAATAAAACCAGCAAAGTACATGAGGAGCAAGACTGAGAGAAGAGGTGATGGAAACGGAGGCGAGACGGCATTTTATGAATTTGTTTTTTACCCGCAGCCCATGGAAGCGAGGGTTGCTGTAGAAGAGCTTCATCTGCTCCGGAGGAAGTGGTCCCAGAACTTTCTGGATGGTGAAGAGCTGGTCGATCTCGCTCTCGCCCGGGAAGAGAGGCTGTCCATCGCTCAGCTCTCCCAGGATGCAGCCCACCGACCACATGTCCACCGCCTTGCCGTAAGGAGCCCTGGAAACACGACGCAGGAAGTGAAATTATTATCATGGTATCAACAGTATCACTTAAAGAGTGGCCATTTGTTGAGTCATCTATTTTGAATATTCAAAAATATCAGAAGTGGTATCGGCAATACTGTCCCCATTTGTACTTGGTATTGGATTGATGGATCAAAAATAAACCTTGCAGCATGGAGCACCTCTATTTTAATGGCAATATGGCAATGCATGCTGTACTGTAATCAATTTAAAAAAAAAAAATTCTATTGGTATCAGGGATACCGGCCTTGTGTTGACTTGGTCTCAGAAAGACAGATCGGCAATACTGTCCCTGCATAGGATTGATGCCTTGACACCAAATCACTTTAACTAAAGCCCACCACGAGTTGAATGGCTATTTGAGAATGCATACACAATTATTATTTCAAAAATATATTAGTATTGGTGTCAGACTATCAGCGATACTTGCTCTGTATTTACTAATATCAAAACGATACTAAATACAGCAGTAACACACACCACTTGTAAAGTGCAATTTTCAGGATGCATCCATCATAATTATCCATTCATTTTCCGATCCGCTTATCCTCACAAAGGTCGCGGGGGGTGTGGGGGGGTGTGGGGGTGCTGGAGCCTATCCCAGCCGTCTTCGCGCAGTAGGCGGGGGACACCCTGAACCGGCTGCCAGCCAATCGCTGAGCACACAGAGACGAACAACCATCCACGCTCCCACTCACACCTAGGGACAATTTAAAGTGTTCAATCAGCCTGCCAGGCATGTTTTTGGAACGTGGGAGGAAACCGGAGTACCCGAAGGAAACCCACGCAGGCCCGGGGAGAACATGCAAACTCCACACGGGGAGTATCAAATCTTGTAATCTTGCCCACCAGTAATCGACAGTGGCTAAATGCTTTTTTCTGAGTGATTCCTAACAGACATACCCGAGCAGGAGCTCCGGAGAGCGGTACCACCTCGTGGCCACGTACTCTGTGTAGTTGGCGTCCGTTCCCTCGGAAAGATTCCGTGCGAAGCCTGGCAAGACAAGACAAGATGAGGCGAGATTGCGGTGACCAGTCTGGAACACAGTGTCCTCATTAAAACGAGAAAATGGGTCAGAGCAAAGGAGAAACACAGTGCGGGGCTGGGTGATTTGATCACAATGCTAGCTAAGTTTCATTTGAAAAATGAAAATACAAAAAAATGTTTCAGTGCTGGTTTGGCATCAAGACAAATCAAGAAAATCCCAGACGGAACAAAAGCCGACTTTGTTTTGAGAGGTGTTAATTTGAGACGAGATTTATAAACAAAGGACGAAAAAGTGTTTTAAAATTTCTGATGAAAACAAAATGGAAGATTGAATTACAAGTAGCCACTCAAAACTGGCATCGTGTTGGCCACTATGCATTCCGTGGCCAACACGGCCGGCCTCCCGTCTCTCAAAGCAGATTGCCCACATGATGTTTTCCGTCCCCGGTATCCCCTCGCTCGGTTGCCAGATTGAATCCAAGCGCGACATTAGCCTGCCGCGTTGCAACATGCTGCACGAACTGAAGCACGCGGGTCACCGTATGAGGATTTACAGTATTTGATATGCAATGAATGCGCAAACGGTTAGAAGCAATGAGAAGAAGTGAGAGAAGTGGGCCGCCGCACGTGGAGCTTGGCAGATAACCGGATGCGCTGGTTTGATCCAAATATAGCTTCAGAGCTAAAATAATACTCCGGTCGTATCGCAGCTTGACCGTCAGCTCACCAAAATCGCACAACTTGAGGATGTCGTCGGAGCTGATGAGAAGGTTCTCCGGCTTGATGTCTGAAGAACGGGCGGACAAGCATGTCAGGTTATGACATCATCACACGTCATTCAAACCAAAAGGTGGGAGCAAGAAAAGGTTTTGCTGAGTGATCCTAATCATACATTTCAGGAAGAGACATTTATATGGTTAAATTCATTCTTAAAAGTTGCACAGGGAAAAGTGAATCACACAAAACGAGTTCAGGTTAAAATAAAACAACCGTGAGGCCCATTAAATTAAAAGTAGCGCAAATCCCACAAAAGTCACACAGGTCAAAATAAAAGAAGCGTTAAAAAAAAAAATGAATGAAAAATATTGGGTAGGCTAAAATTAAACTATTGCACATCTCACAGGGTTAAAATCCCACTGAGGGGGAAAATAAGGCGATTGAAGGTCTGTAAAAAGTTGCAGTGATTAAACTAACATTCCCACAACTTCCCTAAAAGTGGCACGGGTTCAAATGAGACTGTCGTCAATAAATGTTGCACACGGTGAAATAAAACCACCATAAATCCCCCCAAAATTGCGCAGGTTAAAAGAAGAGAACCTTAAATCCCCCCAAATTGCACAGATTAAATTAGGACTAATTTAAATCTTTCCAACATTGTTCAGAAACCCTCCAAAAATTGTGCAAGATGAAATATGACTCCCACCCATCCCCTAAAATTTGTGCAGCTCAAATCACAAGTGTTTTTTTTAATCAAATTAATTCAACAACAGGTCTGATTTTTTTTCCTTTTTTTTTAAGCATCGCCTCACCATTTGTTGGACTGCGGAACGCCTGGCATTTATTTTTACAACTTCAGAGTGTCCAACTGCCCTGAGAGATAACAGCTAAAAGGATGCAGCAATTAAAGAAACATGAAAATTCACAGATTGTAAAGCGGGAAAAAGGCATGACTTATTTATAAAGGACAAACCCAAGGAAGCAGAAGGAGTCGTATGAAAGCGCGGGAAGATCCCGGCGGCCATTTGGACAGCTCAGTGCCATCTGGCTTCCTGAATTGTCCACCAAAAGCTAAATGCAGTGGTGTGAAGTAACCAACAGTACAAATAGTATCGAATGGGTGTGGGATATAATTGACAGTCAAAATTCATTTTTATTTTTTAACACATTTAAGAGCGGGGATTTATTTATTTTTATTTAAGAACCAGAGTTGAATCAGTTCAGATTCATGTAAATCCCACAAAAATTGCACAGGTTAATGTGTGACTATATATCTCCGAAAAGTTGTGCAGGTTCAAACAAGACGAACACAATCTTCAAAGAGTCATAACAGTTAAAGTAAGGTTACAAAAAAATTTTAAAAATCGCTAAAAAGTTGCAGAGGTGAAAATAACAATACAATAAAATCTCCCAGAAGTTGCACCGAATAAAATCCCACAAAGTTTAAACTGGCTGAAATTAGACTACTCTAGCATGCGTTAATAAAAAAAAGATAAATTCAAAGGAAGTTGTGTCGGTTAAAATATGACTACTTTAATTGCCCCAGAAGTTGCAGAGGTTAAAATCAGACCACCTTAAAAACCGTGTGAGACCCTTACCTCGGTGAACGATGTCATGCTTGTGGCACCAGTGGATGGCCTTGATCAGCTGATAGATGTAGCTGCGTGCCTTCTCGGCGGGCACGCCGTTGGGCAGCTCCTCCAACAGCTCCAGCATGTTCTAGAGAGGAAACAGAAAAAAAAAAAAAAAACACAAATTGACCAACAGAAAAGGGAGTTGAAATTCGCCGAGGCCCGGTGCGGAAGGAACGGCGGCTCACCTTCTCCACGTACTCAAAGACCAGATAGAGCTTCCCTCGCCGCCGGAACGCCTCTTTGAGCTCCACGATGTTCTCCTGCTTGAGCGTGCGCAGCATCTTGAGCTCCCGCAGTGTCGTTTCTTTGACCTCCTCATTTTCTGAGTCAAATAAACTTCCCTCAAAAATTGGGCAGCTTCAAGTAGGGCTAGCGTAACTCCCAACGAGGTTGCTCAGGTTAAAATAAAACAAACGTCAATCCCACAGAAAGTAAAATCAGGAGCTTAAAAAGTCACCTTACCTTCGCTGTCTTTGAATTTCTTTATCGCCACAATTTCGTTGGTGTCCTGCAAAAAAAAAACACAGCATACGCCAAACAGTTTGTGTAAAGTCTCTTCAAAGGTTGAGTACTGAGGGTAACAGTTTGAACGTAGAACAAACTGATTCACTTTTCATGTTATTCCTAAATGAGGTCAAAATTCCGTTGGGTGGCAAACCAACTCGAGTCACACATCAGTTTCAAGGTCTTAATGAAGGCTGTTGAGATGTGTGAATATTTTGTCAATACGCTCTCATATGGTGATACAAGGATTGGAAAAAAATATTTTTATTCATCACGAGCTCATTCAAATTATGACAAAAAGTGGCACGGGTGTACTTGAATTGAATTGCTCCCGTGACCAAGCTTTTAAATCAATTTATTTATACATGAAATCCATTTTACCCATTGAAATGAATTGCAATCTCATGAATCAGTTGAAGACGTTGGAAAAAAAATAATTTGTAATTTCATTATTGTCCACTGAGACAAGCTGAAAGACAATATAAATTAACAATTTTGTCAACCCCCCCTTTGAGAATCTCGCGCTTCTTTTCATGGCCTACTTGTGAGGCCCGCTGGCATTTGCGCTTGGAGCTCTGCTAAAGGCAAAAACATGGTGGAAAAGGAGAAAGGACAGCCTACAAACTGACCTGCGAAATAAATGATCATTGTGTAAAAAATTCATTTCTATACAAATAGTCTCCACACCAGTCGCCTCATGTCGCCAAAAATATTTCTACCTCCTCCCGTCTCGCTTCTCTGGCGATATCAAGTGACAATATTAGCCCCCGCACGTATATTTGCTTCTTTAAAGAGTGCACCACATGTCTTGTTTTTTTTTTTTTAAAAGATGGTCACCCAACGTCGTGCTTCGTTCGCATGCGTGGTCGAATCACGGACACGTTGCGTTCATATTAGAAGTGGCATTGTTTTTGTAATGTGAACGAGGAAATCAAAAATCCAAAGTGAGCCTCACACTCTGCCGTGTGAACGTAGCCGATTACTGTTGGCTAAAGTGCGTCGACAGAGAGGAGAAGGGTAAACATAGCTGTGCTGACTATTGATTTAAGTCCAGAATGCAGGAATGCACCCCTGAATGGGCTTATCGCTCCATGAGTCTCTTTGTCTACACGGTAGTAAAACATTGACAGCGTCAAGGCTCTGACTCCTTTCACACATCCTCGAAAGATCCAGAAAATGCCCGCATTTTTTAAAATTAGGTCACATTAGGCCATTTTATAATGTTAAATCATCCGAGCAATGGAAAAGTCAAGTGAACAAATAAGCATAGTTTACGATTAGAAAAGGTCCCGAAATGATCCAAACTGGCAAAGGGCCCCATGTCTGTATTTTTTGTTTATCTGTCAGGGTACAAACAAGTTTAAAGAGCCCACCGTTGCACCGAATGCAATTTGAAGAAAAAACCACTAGTGGTTGAAATCGAGACAAAGGATGGACATCCTAATTCAATTCAAACGAACTGTCAACGGTTCTGGTGCAAAAAAAAAAAAAAAAAACCCCAAAACAAAACAAAAGAAAAAAACGTGTGTACTTTTGTACATTCCGTCTACTCTTCAGTTCTCTTTTCTGTCATATGGTGATTAATAATTATTGTATGTTTAAAGCAACATCCCGGTTAGTTCCACTGAATGTTGAAAGTGTCTCTATTAACTTGAGTGATTCTAAAAAGACACAAAACCAATCCTGGCTGACATCACCTCTGTGTTCTTTTTCAATGAACAGGAACAGACGGAAGAGCGACTAAGTGATATCTGCCATCTAGTGGTGAATGGTAAGATTACAACTTAAAATTCATGAAGTGTGGTAGGGGAAGCATTTTTTAAAGTCGCCAAGACCTGACTTCCCAAATGTGTGTGTGTGTGTGTGTGTGTGTGTGTGTGTGTTACAATGCAATTGGTTGATAGGTCGATATCAATTACTTCGATGCTATCAACATGCTAAATCCTAAACTCCTGCTTCTGTGATGTGCTCATGTCCACAATGTACATCGTCGGAGAATCCATGAAGTGCATCCAACTACTTCCCAAAGCGTGAATTAAACGATTGCATAATGATTAAAGACTCCATTCAGCCGTTTTAGAAGATGACGCCCGCCACCGTGGAGTGAGTCAGCGTGAACATCTGATGTTGATCAGAGACAGCTCCCGTCTTTTATTTTCGGACTCTTCTGGCTTGCGTAACGGCGACAATGCAATTCGTTTCCTTACCAATCCATTTTCAGAGCGGCTGTCGAGCTGTGGCAAAGAACAAATGTATAATAATCTGCCCGCCCCCTTTCTGAAGGGAACGGTTATTTATGTAGGCCCGTGAGGGGAAAGTGGGACAGGAGAGGAAAAAGGGGGACTTAAATAGGTCACCTTGACGGGGAGCGCTCTAACGGAAATGCTCGACGAAGTTGGACTTTTCACGTCCGTCTTTTAATGTGACCTAAATTTATCCCAAATATTATTGTTGACTGAAAAAAAAACCCGGACATTTTGTGGCAATAGTTGCAATATTAATTCTAATAAACACTGGGAAGGACCAAGAGTTGTCTGTGGAGTTTATTCCCCGCAAGAAAGGAGAGAACTTGCATAGAGCAGCTCAAATGAAAGGCAATATACGGGGTCTTCGGAGTGAAAGATTCGCAAGCAACACAAATGACAAGGACAAAATTAGAATTCATACTTAATTGCGAGTTGCAATGTGAAATCCGCTGTGTCTATTTTGCTTAATCACCGGTGTCGCCCGTAGTAAACAATCATTCACCCGGGCTGCCTTCCGTTCCCGCGTTCACGAGCACTGGCTGGCTGGCTGTCAGCGGGATTTGTTAAGGCCTTAAAATAAACAATAAAAGGGCAGCTGTTGCACGGAGCCCACTCACAGTCAACGGCAAAGGATCGCCAAATGTGACATAAAGCCGGTACATATAACGGTCATAACATTTGGTTTCGACCTGCTTTAAATAGACGAGTGCGTTATGTTCCCAGATAGTGACGTGAACGTGCATTTAAAAATACAACGGCTCAAATCGATTTGAAATACACTTTCCCCATTGAAATGAATGGAAATGCCATTAATCCGTTCCGGCCCCTTAAAAAAATTAAATTAAAAAAAAAAAAACAAAAAAAAAAACTCACATTTAAAAAATAAATAAAATGGCCGTGTAAAATATTCTAAGAGCAAACACTAGCTACACAATGAAATATAATTTTAAACATTTTTAATTGATTGCTTATTTTTCTCAACTCACATTATGGGGCACTTTTAAACCACGCTATTACTGCATTTTGGCAACAAAAAATGGTCATGATTTCCAACAGCTAACAAACTTCAAAAGGTGCTGGTAATGCCAGGTCAGACACACACACAAAAAAAAAAAAAAACAGTTCTATAGGTCATGTTGCTTTCACACTGCCTGAAAACAACATGCCCTTTGACAATTTTTCTCCATGCTGCTGTACTGTGTGAACAGCATCAACACCATTTTTTTAAATCCAAACTGACACAGAACAAGGGAGGAAATGGTTTGGTGAGAGCATCACTCCCGCTAAAAGCCAACATTTTCCGAACTTGACTCCCTCGTCTCCGTTCTGTATCAAACATTGCTCTATTCTATTTCTGGCCTCGCTCATTTCGGCGACTAAACACATGTATTGTACTTTTAATTTGGGGGTGGGCGTGAACAATGAGCAGCTGCGACCCATCAAGCGCCATTTTCTCCACGTTTGGTGGGCGCAAGCTTCCGTGAGCTGCGTGTGGGCCCATTCACTCCGACAATACAATCGTTTCCACATGGCAATGGTCCACATTGATCAGCGGCCAGAGTTTTTCTGCCTGCTGTGCCTCCACGCGTCCTGCCATGCATTGAGCCGCCTCAAAAGGTACGGATGGCATCTATTAGTGACTTTCCCGCAGAGTGAGAGCGACGCAGAGAGGGGCTCCGTGTTGCCATTCCGCTGCTGGATGCCACACGAACCAAAATAAATAATATGACGCTGAATGGAAGCATTTCTGTCTTCGGAAGGACCTGGTCAATTTTTCACATTTGGAGATATTTTCAGAAGCCTGTTTTACGCTGTAAAAACTGGTACAGTCCCTGTTTTATTTTTATTTTATGGGGTGATGCAAGCTCTAAACTTACAAGTGAGCTTCAAACACTCGACTGCACTCAGTTAGCCATGGCTGGTGGGGCACGGGGATGACATGCAAAAGAAGCAACGGGTTAGCCGGTCACTTGTGAGCTCAGTCCAATAAACGGAAACTATGGTGTGTGCATGTGTGACGCTTGCCAGCTCGTGCTGTGCAAAAGCCTCAGGACGAGCAGCAAAACTGCTAGGTTAGCGCACTCAACTCCCAACCTGGGTGACGGCGGTAACGCGGGTTCGGGCCTCCGCGCTCGACGACTGTCTTCACGCATCGACCGTGCCTGTGACTTTTTGTGCGACGAGAGTGACTTTTGACACACGACAGTAACACTGTAGGGAAAATGAATGAAGATCAAAGTCACGGCAGCAAGGCTAAAACTGTACGATATACGGAGAAAGGGGTGTGGAAATTAAACAAAATTGTACATTCTACTTTATTCTAATGTTCATGGCAACAATGTAAATTCCTTGAAAACTGGTTCAACCAGATATTTGAAAACGGTACAGAGGAGATATTGTTGGGATGTATTGAATGAAGAGCTTTTTTTCCCAGGGCCCGCAAAAGTCAAAATATTCCCCAATTTTCTACAGCCCAGAATGGGGATACAAAGTCTTAATCACACTTTGCATGATGACTGCAGGCCATTGTGACTGAGTGGCTGATGGCAGATGGAGGCAGAATCTTCCTCAGCTATTCAATAAGCAGCTAAGGACTGTCGTCTGGCAAGCTAGCGAAGCGGAGGTCACTACTGTAAAGATGCAAGAACAAGGGAAAAAAAAACTGCGAGCGTGTTTACTGCAGATCTATTGTCAGTGGGAGGCAGCCGATTTCTCTTTGCTTTTTCCTTTTTTTTTTCCTCCCCTTCCTCTGTGTTCTGGTGTCAACGCTCAGCTCGTCCTCTTCCTTAAATGGAGCGAGATGACAAGACGGGAGGCGGTAGTGTGGGTCGCTGAGCCACTTACTGCTGCTCAATATATGCTACGATACTTTAGGTTTGATGCTCTTGTGGAAAAAAAGAGCTTGATCGAATCTTACCTTGTGTCTGCACTTGAGAACGACTCCATAGGCACCTAGACAGAAGGAAAGACGGTCATTCCAGAATTGGAGATTTCACATGAAATGTCGATAATGCATCTCAAAAAATAACTCTCTCTCGATATATGCACAAACACAACCAAAAATAAGTGTAAAATGAACTTTTTTTTGTAGGGTTTAGTTGATTTGTCTTGTAATTTTTCACAGATATGGATTTGGAGTCAGCCAATCCTCCATTAAATGTCTCCAGTTGTTCCAGAATGCTGCTGCTCGCCTCTTGACAGGTACTCGTAAGAGGGAGCACATCACTCCTACTCTGCGTTCTACAACCAGGTTGGAAGAGGCTCTGAGGAACAGTTCCAGGTCCAAAAAAGTGTCATGGAAAAGTGACCACACAGGGTGGAACCAGGCTGAGAACCAGAGTAGAACCAGTACACTGGAACAGGGGCTAAGTTGAAGGCGTGCGTCTCATATTTTGACCGTTGATTGAAGGGTACGCTCGACGAAGCAGCAAAGTCTTCGTATTGTTCGACGGATACTTTTCTTAGAGGCGTTTCCACTGTGCAGGTGTACCTAATGCTGCGGCCAGCGAGGGTATGCAAGTGTTTTCCCTTGCTGCCGTTGGTGTTGTTGTCATGCCAACAGATTCTGGCAAAAAAAAAAAAAAAAGACCTTTTTCTCATACAAATCCAAGCGTCTCCTCGACGATGACGCGGCAAGAGCACATAATGCTCACACATTTACCAAGATAGCGAGAGAAAAATTTACACTACCGTCTTACTTGAACGAATAAGACTTTGGGGGGGATTTATGGTCATCTTATTTTAAGCTAAACAAGCTTTGGTGGATCTAAGGTTGCTTTATTTGAACCCAACGAAATTTTAGGGGGGTTGTGGTCATCTTTTCTGAACGCGCGCAACATTTGGGGAATATATGCTGCTATGATATTAACCTGGGCAATTTTTGTCTCTTTTCTATTTTTTTTTTAATTTAAAAGTCTTTTAGGGCTATTTAATGAGCGCATCATGGATGACAAAAGGGACAGGTGGCTAAGGAAGTAGGACACGAGCATTGGCGAGTTAGTGCTCTTGTGACGTTATCGACCCTGGCAGTCCCTCGCTCAGTGCCCCGTAGGCGGGTTGGAGGGTGGGAGTTGGGAGCTTCAGGGCGGATTTTTGGAGCGAGCAGGCAAATGACGAGCTGCTGGCCAATTCTTCGTCAGCTCATCTCTCACTCGACGTCTTCAAATTGAGCATCGGCACTTTTTGAATTCCAGTGCCTCTACAAAATGATAACAAGATGGACGAATTCCCCAACTCTTTTATTTATTTAAAATAAATATTAGAATTTAATTTTTTTTATTTTACCCCGAACACCACTTTCCCTCTTCGACACAAAAATGGGTGGACGTGTCGATCATAAAAGGACACCTGCCAAAATCTCAAGTACATACGCCTGAAATGAAAAAGGAAGTCAGTCAATTTGGGCAAATTCCCAGACTGTCACTCGCCAATGCGTACAAATGAGCCTTAATCGGAAGCAACCTCAACAGATGGACAGTGGCATGAAAGTTTGATGACCATTTTGAGGATTGGCCAGTTAAAAAATAAATAAATAAGGAAATAAAAGATGCGCTGGTGGAGGACAAATTGAATGTCACTATCCTCCTTCACATGGACACACAGAAGCTGCTTAATTACATAAGCAGTGAATAGAGTGCCTGGCGCAGCCGCGTGAGCCATTGACAACAATTGAGTGACCTTAAGTGCACAGAGGAAAAATCAATGACCGCGCCGGACTCGGCGCATGGCCCGAGTTAAATGCCGGAAACTTTTTTTTTTACATGCCGGTCCTCATTCACTCCGTGAACAGCATCATCTTTTCTCACAATGGCGACACATAATTTCAACGAGCTACCGCGACACATACTCTGTTCGAGTGTGTGGTACATAAACTTGTCGCACTTCGATGTGTTGCCATTTCTCATGATCGACCTGACGAGCCGTGACTCATTTCATCATTTTTGTCTTCAACTCAAAACCTATGCTGACCTCAAATCCAAAGGGATGCGACGCCACCATCTACAGGGATGTGTTCGTCATTACAACGGTTTACGAACTTGAGTGTCAGACAAGCTGGCTGAGACCCTCTTCCACACCTACCCGTTAAAAAACACTTGACGAATATATCCTTCGTGGCAGTAACCGGTTGGATTCCAGTCGCCAGTTCTAAATGCCCACAGCAGTGAATGAGTTTATGAAAGGTTCGACAACTGCGCGGGGGACTCACCTTCACCCACAATCCCAAGGACCTCAAATTTATTCATGACATCACCGATGTCACCTGGTCTTCACGGAGTCAAAGGCTCACGGTGCTCGGGCAGAGGGGGGCGTGGCCAGCTGCTGGCTCCCGTCGAGTGCAGCACCCCTCGCCGCATGGCCGTCACCTGCAACCCAAACGCGGTCATGTCAGACCTTCTTTGGAAAACGGACTTTTCAAAATGTGTGTAGAAATTCAGTCCTTTGGTACCTTGACCCGTGCACCAACTTGTGAGTTTTGAGTTAGGATCCATCACTTGATCAAATTTCCATAACCAAAGAAGTCATATTGCATCACAAAGTTTTTTTTTTCTATTCCTCACCACATGCAAATCTAGCCATCTGTCTGTCAGAAAACTATCTGGATGAGATGAGCTAAGTCTTCCGACGACTTGTAGTCGTGGGAGTTCATCGCTTTTAACGTTTACACTGTAGCTTATTTTGCATCTAAAGCGGTCAAAGTCTATCCTCTGGCGCTTTTTTGCATATTGACTCAGGCAAGTCTCCATACACCACTTTTCACTCCAATTCATCTTCTCCTGCTTGCCGATGTGCCAAAATAAACTCCACGGACCCCCACGAGGCTCAAAACACCTGAGAGTGGACCGGCGCCTTTTGTGTACCGACGAATTGTCAACACAAGGAGCTTTCCGAGACTTTCCCAAAACAAGCCACCAATCGTCTACGCCCTACCCTCTCCAAGGGCCGAAAACAGGAACGAAATGGCTTGTGAATCGTTGTGCGGTTTCTCGGCGCTCTTGCTATCAACACGGTGACTCATGCGTGGTGAGGATAACGGGAGTCTGTGCGGGGAGCTGAAAATATACACTACTTTTAACACCTTTCCCCCACAGCATCAACGTACTATTCTCAAGGTGAAATTGGCTCAAAAGGCGGCTATTTCAAGGGGGCGCAACATCAAACAATATTTTGGGAGAGGGGTCTGACTACATTCCCTTGATGGCGTAACTGGGAAAAACGCGTGTGTTTTGCTTTTTTTCTTTGACTTATTTGTGTTTCTTCTATGTGGTGTCAACACATAAGCGCATGAGTGATATTTTTAATAAAAGATGGCATTTGTTTACAAAGTACGACGTCCACATTGTGACTGTTGATGTGCCTCGCTAAGTCGCCACTGTTTTGGGCAGCAACAGAGAACAAATGGGCTCAACGCTGAACAATACAGTGCGATAGCTCAGTAGTTATGACTGTTTTTACAGAAGTCCTACCTCCAAAAAAAATATATAGCTTGCACGTCAAGTAGCACCATCACGGCCAACATTAAAATACGGTTGCATAGTAGGCCAAAGTCATCATTGATAACAAAAGAAAGGCTTTTTTTCACCCCCAAAAAATGTAGTCAATATTATTATAAGCCACTGCAACATTACATTAAATAACGATGGACGCAGATGATGATTTGTCAATGTGTCAATCTGCAGAAGTATACGGCCAACTGGTGTCGAGGAGGACCCAATGTCAGATTTTTTTTTTGGGGGGGGGGCGCTAAAGTACCGGTGGCTTGTATAGGCAGGCCCAATGGGGACCCAATACCTTAACATAAGGACTGCATTGGTACTTGCCCGTCCCGAGTTTTATCCAAAATGGAGTGGTGAGGACTAGTCATCCATTTATCAATCTCAGTAGATCCCAATTTGATACAGACGTTAATTAAGAGGATACCTCTTTGCCAGAATACTGTGTCCATGGAAAATAAACGTACATAATGATTAAACGTTCAACATTTCTACTTAGGCAATCAGTGGGCCCCGAAAGAAAAGACCCGCGAACCACTGTTTGAGAAAACGGGTCGGCGTGAGTGCGTGTGCGCATGCGTGGGCTTCAACTCCCACCTGAAAACACCCAACTAGTGCAACATAACAGCAACAACGAACGTCCGAGCGTGAAGCGTATCACTAGAACGGACTTCAGTAGTGATTTACAACTGAAGCGAAAAATGAGGTTATAACTGTGTGTGTGTCTTTTTTTTCTCGCTACGTAAACACCCGAAGCAGCAACGAGCCGCGCCGTCAACACTCGTCACCGCCTCCTCCTCCACCTCCGCATCGTCCCAAAAAGATAAACAAAAGTACTCACGCCTGCAACCCAAACGCGGTCATGTCAGACCTTCTTTGGAAAACGGACTTTTCAAAATGTGTGTAGAAATTCAGTCCTTTGGTACCTTGACCCGTGCACCAACTTGTGAGTTTTGAGTTAGGATCCATCACTTGATCAAATTTCCATAACCAAAGAAGTCATATTGCATCACAAAGTTTTTTTTTTCTATTCCTCACCACATGCAAATCTAGCCATCTGTCTGTCAGAAAACTATCTGGATGAGATGAGCTAAGTCTTCCGACGACTTGTAGTCGTGGGAGTTCATCGCTTTTAACGTTTACACTGTAGCTTATTTTGCATCTAAAGCGGTCAAAGTCTATCCTCTGGCGCTTTTTTGCATATTGACTCAGGCAAGTCTCCATACACCACTTTTCACTCCAATTCATCTTCTCCTGCTTGCCGATGTGCCAAAATAAACTCCACGGACCCCCACGAGGCTCAAAACACCTGAGAGTGGACCGGCGCCTTTTGTGTACCGACGAATTGTCAACACAAGGAGCTTTCCGAGACTTTCCCAAAACAAGCCACCAATCGTCTACGCCCTACCCTCTCCAAGGGCCGAAAACAGGAACGAAATGGCTTGTGAATCGTTGTGCGGTTTCTCGGCGCTCTTGCTATCAACACGGTGACTCATGCGTGGTGAGGATAACGGGAGTCTGTGCGGGGAGCTGAAAATATACACTACTTTTAACCTTTCCCCCCCACAGCATCAACGTACTATTCTCAAGGTGAAATTGGCTCAAAAGGCGGCTATTTCAAGGGGGCAAAACATCAAACAATATTTTGGGAGAGGGGTCTGACTACATTCCCTTGATGGCGTAACTGGGAAAAACGCGTGTGTTTTGCTTTTTTTCTTTGACTTATTTGTGTTTCTTCTATGTGGTGTCAACACATAAGCGCATGAGTGATATTTTTAATAAAAGATGGCATTTGTTTACAAAGTACGACGTCCACATTGTGACTGTTGATGTGCCTCGCTAAGTCGCCACTGTTTTGGGCAGCAACAGAGAACAAATGGGCTCAACGCTGAACAATACAGTGCGATAGCTCAGTAGTTATGACTGTTTTTACAGAAGTCCTACCTCCAAAAAAAATATATAGCTTGCACGTCAAGTAGCACCATCACGGCCAACATTAAAATACGGTTGCATAGTAGGCCAAAGTCATCATTGATAACAAAAGAAAGGCTTTTTTTCACCCCCAAAAAATGTAGTCAATATTATTATAAGCCACTGCAACATTACATTAAATAACGATGGACGCAGATGATGATTTGTCAATGTGTCAATCTGCAGAAGTATACGGCCAACTGGTGTCGAGGAGGACCCAATGTCAGATTTTTTTTTTGGGGGGGGGGCGCTAAAGTACCGGTGGCTTGTATAGGCAGGCCCAATGGGGACCCAATACCTTAACATAAGGACTGCATTGGTACTTGCCCGTCCCGAGTTTTATCCAAAATGGAGTGGTGAGGACTAGTCATCCATTTATCAATCTCAGTAGATCCCAATTTGATACAGACGTTAATTAAGAGGATACCTCTTTGCCAGAATACTGTGTCCATGGAAAATAAACGTACATAATGATTAAACGTTCAACATTTCTACTTAGGCAATCAGTGGGCCCCGAAAGAAAAGACCCGCGAACCACTGTTTGAGAAAACGGGTCGGCGTGAGTGCGTGTGCGCATGCGTGGGCTTCAACTCCCACCTGAAAACACCCAACTAGTGCAACATAACAGCAACAACGAACGTCCGAGCGTGAAGCGTATCACTAGAACGGACTTCAGTAGTGATTTACAACTGAAGCGAAAAATGAGGTTATAACTGTGTGTGTGTCTTTTTTTTCTCGCTACGTAAACACCCGAAGCAGCAACGAGCCGCGCCGTCAACACTCGTCACCGCCTCCTCCTCCACCTCCGCATCGTCCCAAAAAGATAAACAAAAGTACTCACGCGGTCAATGTCGACGAAGTAAATGTTGAAAGTGGGCCCGTCCATCCATCCGCTGACGGAGTAGCTGTGTCTCTGGCAAGCAGTCAGCTTCCAATCCACCGACTGTCTGGCTAAAGTGCGCTTTTGACAAGCTGCTAGCTACCCGTCGTCCAGGCAACGTCTTTGAGTGGCGGCTGCGTGCGGCCAATCGCAGCGGCCGATACGCTCGCTCGGGTTCTCTCCCCCCCTGGTAAACGGACCAATCGGAGATCGCGCTTTTCGCTGCGGCGCTGGCGGTGTGTTTAGCGCGAGGTGGGATATTGTTGTTCTAAATTCTCAATTACATAATTCACAAGATCACACGCTCACTTCCAGACAAGCACACGGGACGGTCAAATGAAACGTCTACTTGAGAAAGTTCAAACGAAATGTCTACTTGAGAAAAAGATAGATAGGTAGGTAGATAGATAGATATCTATTTACCTACCTATCTATCCATCCATCCATGCATCCATCCATCTGTTGGAACGGCTTTAAGTCCAGCTCATATACACCATATGTCCAACACATCCCATGATCCAAAGTTACCTAAATACATGTCCCAGTCCTACATCTATCTGGATAGGAACAACTTGTGACCCAAACGATACCACATCGTATGTCAATCTCTCTATGACTGTAGAGCCAGAACCATCTATTCATCTCCAACACTGACAAAAGCCCAGTCGGTGAAGGGGATGGCGCAACAAGCTTCCTTTTCCTTCTCCGTTGACAAATGTCTCCATAGGGATAAGTGGTTTTTGCTTTATTTTAGTCTTACTTTGCAGTAGTGAGCATTTCTCTCTACTCTTGTACGTATACAACACTGATGCCTGTATAATTAATTCAGGTTTTATGACGTTGACTTTTGAGTAAAAAAAAAAAAAAGCAAAATATTTTTATAACGCATAATACTGTCATCTAGTGGAAAGAAATAAAAACGCGCCTCACTTAAGAGGGACTTTTCCACAGTCAGAATAAAGATGGATAAAGTTGGATTTTACAAAGAAAAACTTGAGAATAAAATTTAAATTTGAGAACAAAGTCAATTTCATGACACCGGCTTTTGAAAAGAATTTTTTAGTGAGACAGCAAAAAAAAGGTAATTTCACGATGAACTAGTCATAATTTACGAGAATAATGTTACAATACTACAATGCATTTTATGAGAATGAAGAGGAAACACAAGAATAAAGTTGTAATTTTATGAGGAAAACCTGTTCTTCAAGAAAGTTAAATTGCAATATTATGAGGGAAAATTTGTAATTGACCCTGACAAAGCTGTACATTTTCAAGAATTAAAAAATCATACAGAACAACATCGTAATTTTACAGAACTAAATCGTATTATTTTGTGAAAAAAGTGTCAATTTTACGATAAAAATCATAATCTATAAGACTTTATTACAAGTTGTAGTCCAAGAATATTAAATTGAAATACCGTGTGGAAAAAATATATAATTTTACCCTAAAGATGCACTATTTCAAAACAAGTTTCTGAAGAAATTACGTAAATCAATTAGTTTGATTTTTTTTTACCAGATAAAATATTACGAGAAAAAGTGCTATTTTTACGACAATACAGTAATCATAATCTCGGACAATGAGGTCGTAAAAACACAAGAACAACTCGTAATTTAACAACATTGCAACAACTAATTAATCAGCAAAAAAGGTCACTTCGAATATTAGAGACTTGAAACAGAGTTAAAAGCTTTTATCACAAATATTCAAAATGTTAATTTTGACCTCAGTTGAGACATGTTTCAGTACAGTTGAAATTGAAATATAGGTTCATCTTCCATTTTGGGTTGATGATCATTTTCCATCTGACCCCGGAGGAGTCAGATGGAAAATGTTGAACCTCACCACACGTCACCCCCAACGCCACCGAATACTACTACTCACGCGAAGTCTGATGCGTCATTCAAGGAAGGTGGGAAGTTGCAATTATCCCAATGAAATTGTCCCAGTCCTGAACTCAAAGCGTTCAAGGCGAATGAATGTAAACCAAAAAGATATCCGATTCCGATAAATGGTTTGTTATTGTTCATCACAACACATCACATTTTGACCTCTAGCAAACCTTCAGAATTTCCTTATTTTACATAACTAAATGAGTATCTGATATTCAAAGCATTTCGTTCATTTCACCAAATAACTACATGTGGGAAGACAATGGCATATCTTCAATACAAATTACGTAAAGTTATTTGGAATACCTAAATTAAGATAAAGATAAGTAAATAAAGCTAAAATTATCTTTATAATCTTGTCAATTATGTTGTGCCCTTCACGGTCTGTGTCTCCATGGGCTCGCCATTGTTGAGTGACGTCAGATTGAAGTCGGTCGTTTAAATCGGAGTCCCTTTTTTCCGACTCCGCAAATGGGACCTCCCATTTCAAAGCGGTGTTGTTCTAGTGCACTTTTACAAGTCGAAAGTCGGAAAATTCCGACTTCCACCATCCTCAAATGCAGCATTAGAAACTCATATCAATTACTTTCAAACATTCAATCTCTCATTCACTCACTCTTACTTTTTTTATGAATTTTGAACCGTAGAATGTGCGACAAATACAGGGATCTCTGAAAAAAGGAGGAAAAACTACCCGGTTCTGGAAACCCAAATTCACATAGCCCGTGCCTTTAAAGTAGTTAAAAATTAAAAGTCTTCGACATGACGTTTTTTTTCCCAAGCATTACACACCCATTCATTCAGTGGAATATCCCAAAATAAAAAAAGACGTAATTATCTTTGTGTTCTATGCATTTATTTCTTACAATGGAATTCGGTGTTTATTATTATTTTATTGGACTGAATGAATACATTACAAATCAGTATTTTTTCGACTTTTTAAAAAATCTATTACGACCAGGAGCGACAGTAGGCTCGTTTCAGAAACCCAACTGCACAGGGAGACATGTATGGAACATGATTGGATAACGCTAACAAAAACAGATTCTGATTGGCTCTGCGCTCGAAGATCTCCCAAATTACATTGGCCGTAGTCTTCCTCTCATCCAATCAAATGTTCGTTCAGTGTCTCGTAAGCGTCCGATCTTTAGCACATAATACATGCGTGTCCCACACACGCTCACAAAACAGTGGAGGGAAAAAAAATGGCAGCTGGCGATTAGGAAAAGAAAAAAAAGTGCTTACATTTTCCTCGATTTTTCCCAATAAAGGCGTAACCGGTAAGTTAACTTTGCTTACGAAATGACACTTATAAAGAGCGACTATCAAATAAAACACGAAAAGAGGAGTTAGGCAAATTGGTCGGGATAGAAGTGGGGATGATATCGCCCTCCTTACGGTAAAAAAGGAGGAAGGAAAAAAAAGAAAAGCAAAGCTAGCCAACCTCGTTAGCAAGCGCGGCTAACTTGTCAACACAGTGGCTCCGGCTATTACCTGGCGCTACTGTGTATGGCGTAATATTTATACGTCATAGCCGTGTCCGGTCCATAATTCGCGGACGCCTTTAATTTGTAATAAATTTCAAATTTTTTTTTTAACTGTGAGTACAACACTTGGCTAACATATGGACGTGAGCTGGCTGATTTAAAATGAGCATATTTTCTCATTACATAACTGGCAGCACAGGAAACGTTTGAAATGTTACATAATTATACTCTCTACCGGACCGTAGGTTCAGTTTTTACACCATACCATGTTAACGACTTTAAGTTACTATGATAAAGTTAGTTCTAAAATACCGTTTTTTTACAACAATACATGAATAATTTTAGAAAAATAAAATTATAGCATACTAGAAAAGTGGTCATTTTACAAAAATACAACTCAAATGTGAGAATAAGTTAATTACAACAAAACATGTTCATCTTATCAAATCACATATCAGGGAGTAAAGGTGTAATAAGGGCATAATTTTAACTAAGCAAAAATATCAAAATGAAGTTCTAATATTTAAAAAGTGGCCATTTTACAAAAATAATTGAACTGAGAATAAATTTGAAATATTACAAGAAAAATTGTTACTTTTACCAAAATGTGGTTACATATATGCATAATAATGAACCCTTTGATTCTGGAACTGTTTCAAGTTTTTAATTGCATAACTTAAATTCAAAATTTGTCTTTTCAGAGATGAACATGTTTTAAAATTTGCAACCTTTTTGTGCCCATGCCTGTGATTGTATTTTCATGTTTGGAATATTTGTTTCGAAGATAAAAAGGCCAGAAGCAGAAGCGAAAGACAAAGAAGCAGCTTTGCGGGTTCCAAGTGGCCCCCATATCAAGTGTTGCCATTGGACACCAGGCAGGCATCATGGGGAAAACACAAATAAAAGGCAAGAAACAAGACACTAATGAAATCTGTATTCATTTATTGATACTTGACAAGTACACTCATAAACCTCAAGCCTTTGATTTTAATTCCGATCTAGAGCAAAGGGATGGCAAAAAAGAGAAACAAACAGCGGGTACAACAGAGGTAACCAAAGGCAAGTAACTCTTTGCAATTTTTTCCTACTTAAATCTTTCGTAAAACAATGAAAGAAGTGTTTGCAATGAACATAAATGGATTGGATGTACATTCAGTAAACTTTGAAGTGAACATCAATGTGTCCTTTTCCTCAGAGTCTTTTGCCTGGGAAGAATATCTAAAAGAAACGTCCTCGTTGCCAGCGCCACCGAGTTGTTTCCGTCAGGTACGATCTTATTATGTCATGTCTCTTTATTTTATAATTATTTTTATGCCAGCCAAAACTAGGCCTGGGTGATTCATTGCGGTTTTGGGTCTGGCCCATTTTATTTATATATTTGTTAAATCGCATTTTTTCTTCTAAGTGGCTTTTATACCTCGTCTAGACGCAGCGTTAACCTTTTGTACATTTAGTCATTTATAACATTGATTATTACTACATTTAGTTATTCAGTAGTACATTTGTAGTTAATCAGTAGTGCATCTGAGACGGTTCAAGTGCTGCCGTTTTGGTCAGCAACAGAGCAGTGACAGGATTCTTAGCTCCTTTTTGTCACCGTATGCAGGCTCACGTCCCACCGTCCAACGACTTCAAGGTTGGCATGAAGCTGGAGGCCCACGACCCCCGCAATGCCACGTCGGTGTGCATCGCCACGGTCATGGGCCTGACTGGGGTGCGCCTGCGGCTACGCCTGGACGGCAGCGACAACAGCAACGACTTTTGGAGGCTGGTGGACTCCTCCGACATCCAGCCCATCGGCACTTGCGAGAAGAACGGAGATATGCTACAGCCCCCTCTGGGTAAGACAGTCGTGCTCCCACATTAGCTTGACTTTGGGGTATAATGATATATGCTCAAAAAAAAATTAAGTTTAAACTTGAGACTGATTGACCAAAATGAACAAGTGCAACAATGCGTTGCACTAAATTAAAAGAGCCAAAAAGTCCTTTGCCAATGTTTTTTGGGACACCACACAAACATTAAAATCCACAATTAACAATAAGTGATCTTATTGGCGGTAATAGTTACAGCATGCCTCTGTACTCACCGGCACCAGTCCAAGTCTCAGTCAGGCAGAGGAAAATCCAGGTGACTGGAAAGAAATAGCTCAGTCAATAAGCCTTTTCATAAGCAGAGTTTTATTTCTACACAACGTTAAAGTTGGCACATGACACACGACCAAGTTCCTCCGTGTTGAGTGGGCACCTGCACACCTGGGCTCACCTGTTTTTATTAATTAGAGACAGCGCACCTGAGGGCAATTCCCTGATGAGGGTCACATGACATGCAACCTGGTGTATCACCCAAAAAAGAAAAAAAAGAATCATAACATCCGTCCATCCATTTTCCGATCCACTTTAACCTCACAAGGGTCACGGGGGGTGCTGGAGCAGTAGGCGGGGGGGACACCCTGAACCAGTTGCCAGCCAATCGCAGGGCACACAAACAACCATCCGCGCTCACACTCACACTCACACCTTGGGACAATTTATAGTTTTCAATCAGCTTGGAATGTGGGACGAAACTGGAGTACCCAGTGAAAACCCACACAGGCCCAGAGAAAACATGCAAACTCCGGCCCGAGCCGGGATCGAACCCACGACCTTTGAGGCCGACGCACTAACCACTGGACACCAGGCCGCCCGAATCACAACATATTTAACAAAATGAAATGAGAGCATAACACCACATCAAGTCAATTTCATGGAGTGATTGTCATTCTGCAGGATTTCGCATGAATGCCTCCTCGTGGCCGATGTTCCTGCTGAAAACCTTGAATGGAGCGGAGATGGCTCCCGCGGCGGCCTTCAAGAAGGTCTCCTTCCCGCAAAGACCGCCAATATGCACAATCTTAAAACTTCAATGCAGTTGCTGCAATGACATCACCTCCACTTTCAGGAGCCTCAGAGGCCCCCCCAGAACAGCTTCAAAGCCGGCATGAAGCTGGAGGCGGTGGACAAGAAGAACCCCCACCTCATCTGCCCGGCCACCATCGGCGAGGTGATGGGCGATGAGGTCTTCGTCACGTTCGACGGCTGGAGAGGCGCCTTTGACTACTGGTGCAAGTACGACTCGCGGGACATCTTCACTGTGGGCTGGTGCTCGTTGACCAAACACAGCCTGCAGCCGCCCGGCAACAGCGGTAAGTGTCTCCGCAATGGCCGCATAACCCTTACACACAGGTGACATGGTGGCCAAGAATGAAAGAAACTAAGGAACATAATAGAAGTAAACTGGACAAGACAAGAAGACACACCTGGACGAACGAGACTTGCGGCTGGAGGGAGCTGATTGGTAGACACGAGGAACAGGGCTGATGAGAACAGTAGAAGTCGGCATGACATGAAAAAAAGGACACGGGGGAAAACATGACAAAATATGAAACAAAACGATCTCAAAACAAAGTCAACAAAAATAGAGATTATGACTTTGTTGGTGTTGCGCTTGCATTGCAGTCACCTTGACGAAGAACCCGCCCACCCTGACGTCGTCGCCTTCCAAGCCCACCAGGCGCTCCCTGCAAGCCCCCTACAGACTCCCCAACCCGCTGCCCCGGCTGCCTGTCAGGAAGGGGGTACGCGGTCGCCGACCAAAGAGCGAGACCCTCGCCCTCCTCAAAGCCGTAGCCGAAGCCGCCGCCCGGAACGGCAGCGGCGCCATTCGCGACGTCCAGCTCACGCCTCGGCCGCACAAGAAAAGAGGCCCGAAACCCGGAAGCAGGGTGAGACTCTTTAAGATAATTGCAGGGGATCACAAGTAGCGAAAAAAATGCTCGTAATTGGTGCCTCCTTTTTATGATTACGAGAAGCCAAAATCACAATTAAATTTTAATTCATTGGCCAGCGCAAACAAGGGCTTTACTGTACTGGACTCAGGTTTTTGAACATCAGGTTTCATCTCTGTCACCACCTGTGTGTTTCTAGCGAAAATCCAAGATTCTCCAAAGCTTGTCGCATTCCGGTGCGCCCGCCATCCAGGTTCAACGCGGCAGCCCCGCCAGCTTGCCTACAGTGGTGTCAACAGGTGCCTACATCACGTCCTAGCCGGCCTTTTATTGCAACCTCCTCTCACTTTTCTTTCCTTGTCTCTTCCAGCGTGTGTGTATGTCAACAAACATGCAAACTGTGGCCCACACTTGGACCGCAAGCAGATGCAGCAACTGCCGGACCACTTCGGCCCGGCACCGGTCAACTCGGTGCTCCAGCAGGTGGTCCAGTCCTGTTTAGACTGTGCGTACCAGCCCAAAGTGTTGCTCAGCGCTCTACAGACGCACTCGGGAGGTGGAAAGGTGGTCAGAGGTAATGCATTACCGAGTCCAACGGTCCGATTCTAACTCACACGAGCCAACTTTAAAACAGAATTCCATTACTACAGTGGCGCCGTAACCCGAACCTGTAGGTCGGAACAATAAAAGCAATACAAGTTTTGCTTTGCTCCCATCTTGTGGCATTTGATGCCGAGCAACTCATAAATTGAAAGAGCTGACAAATTTTAGTTAGGAAAAAGGAGTGCTTTGCCACCTACTAGTGGCATTTAGGCAATTGTAAACCTTTTTTAGGACTTGTCTAATTTTGCTATTCATGGCAGGACCTGGGTTACATTCACACCACAGGGCGTGATGCCCATTTCAAATCCATCCATTTTCCGATCCGCTTTATCCACACAAGGGCCGCGGGGGGTGCTGGAGCCTATCCCAGCCGTCTTCGGGCAGTAGGCGGGGGACACCCTGAACCGGTTGCCAGCCAATCGCTGAGCACACAGAGACGAACAACCATCCGCGCTCCCACTCACATCTAGGGACAATTTAGAGTGTTCAATCAACCTGCCATGCATGTCTTTGGAATGTGGGAGGGAACCGGAGTACCCGGAGAAAAACCACGCAAGCCCGGGGAGAACATGCAAACTCCACACGGGGAGGCTGGAGCTGGAATTGAACCTGGGACCTCTGCACTGTGAGGTCGACGCGCTAGACGCCTCACTCAAGTAGACTGACTGGGAAAGGAAATGGAAACAAATGTCTTTACCCCAGTTCACTTGATGTAATTGCTCACTAACCCCAGTTGCTCACCAAAACAGCAGCACCAAGCAAGCACATACATACACATTCTGCAAGTTCCCCGCCCGGCATCAAAAGATGATCTTACAAATGAGACGACCGTGTTGTTCCCAGTGAGAACGGACGGGGGGGTCCGCGTGGTCAAGTTGCCGTCGGCCTCCAGCACCGCCTTTGTGCTGCGCTTCTTGGAAACGGTATGCCGCCACCTGCAGTGCGACAACCTGTTCAGCAGCCAGCCATTCAGCCACTACGCCGCTTCTTTCGATCGGACCAAGTCAGGTAAGCGTACACGTCGGCAGAATTCATTTAGCATCCTTTATTAGCAATTGAATATGATTTGGGGGTCATGTTATATTGATATTGGTGACAGCAATATAAACTGGCCCCAAATGCAGTCGGAAAGACCAGTCAAGGTAGCCACCGTGTGGTGCTGGGAACAACTTCAAAATAAAAGCGTACCAAGGCATTGATGTTAATGTCTGCTCTGGTAAGCTAAGTTTGTTTGGAAGCTATATTTGAATAGCAGGAATAAGTGTTGCTGTGGCTGGCTTGACTTCTGAAAAGTACACGCCAAATAAACGGGTACTCGAGGCAGACAACAATCCTCAAGATTATTATTATTATTTTTTTTTTTTGAATGAATGAATGTCAGATTAATGGCATTTCAATTCATTTCTGTGGATCATCGTTATGAGTGATTTGAGTGACAAGCACGGTCAAGGTTAAGTCACACAAGTGGTCGTGTTTTATTTACTTTCAGTCAAAGAGGAGGCGCTGGACTCACCCTCGCTGACCCGAGCGGGCAAGCGAAGCCTGGCCGGGGTTTCGCCTCCGTACGCCGCGCCCCTGTCGCCCAAACATGTACGCGCAGACGTCCACCCTTCGGAAGGTACTTGTCGGCCTCCTTCTCATGAGAATGTCTCGTCGGGAAATAAAAACAACGGGACGAGAAACATGAATTCACAGAGCATATGTTACTTTATTATAAAAGTAAGAAGTACATTTATGTAGCGCATAAGGTGCTCAAAGCAAACAATGGCTTTGGATCAGGGCTCGAGACCGAAACCCTAATTTTTCAGTGATATGTCCCCAAAAAACAAAAAGAAATACAATAATAAGAATAATAACAATAAAAAGTTGCACCAGTGCGACCATCTTTTTGAGGGGGGGAAGGAGGGAAGTCTTCGTTTCTGTCTGTACCAGATGTTTAATATTTGCTGAAGTGCATTTTTGGGGGCAAAGAGAGCACGAGTCTGTTATATTTATAATTTATCCAAGATATTTTTATTTATTGTTCTATATTTCATTGGCAATGTTCAACATTCTTAAGAGTCATTTGCACAATGCAAAATACTTTTGAGTAAGTTAGCGGACTTGTAGCATTGTGATTCAAAACAAGAACTTTATCATCATCAGATTTTTAATGATTTACCTTTTCAATTTTGCCCAAAAAGACAAGCAGAACTTTTGTCTCAATCAAATAGGGTACCTATAAAACCGTGATGCCGTGGAAAATTATTTTGTGCTGGCGCGCTAAAGAAAAAAAAAGTTGGGCGCATCATTGCAACTAGTGCAAAAAGTGAGTTTGCTTTGGCTGACACATGTTGAGTAGAAGTCTTCCTATTATTTATACATGACATCCTATTATTTGGCACTCCCAAGGTGAGTGTTGTCAAGTGTCCTTGGGTCCCTTCAAAGGTGCTTTATAAATCTGAGATGTTTGGATTATTTTCTTGTGATTTGCATCAGCACTGGCACATTTTGGGACAACGAGTGAAAACAAAACAAATTTTGAATCATGAAATCTAAAAGCTTCTACAACATAAAAGCACACATTGGAAATTATAAATAGCAGCAACGGAAATTATATTCACACATACAATATGGAAATAATATATATGTAGCTTGCTCGTCTTTTCAGTACTAGCGGGAACGTGACGAATGTAGCTTCTACCACAATTAATTTAATGCATGCATGACTTAAGACAGTGATTGATTGAACTAACAGCACACTTATTTCGTGGTGGTCACCACTTAAAAGAGGTGACAAACTAGAGAACAGAAAATATGATATTTCTATTAACGCGTCTGTATCCCTTTACCTTAAAAAAAAAAAATCATTCTCCCCATTCCTCATAAGCTGACAAGCAGTGGACTTCATAGTAGTCTGATTCACTTCATATGCTAGATTGTAGTACAGTAGACCCCCGCATACTAGCGGTTCGGCACCTGCAAGTGTGTGGACGCCCTCCCCCCCTCCAAAAATTCTCAAGTGACCCCTCCCAGAACCCCTGCCCCATTTCCCCTCCTTTTTTTTTGAAATGGAAAATACAAACTGAATGTTTATCGATGTATTTTAAAGAATTTGGAGAGTTTTAACCCCACTCCACGCCAATGCATTTTAACAAGGCCGTCAGTTGTGCACTGATTCCGACTCATCGGGGGCCTATCAGTAGCCTGCTAAACATCAGTGTGCGCAAGTATCGAGTGGGGCGTAATTGGAAATGGATGGGGGAAAAAAAACAGAACACCTCAACATTTTTCTTCGAAACCTCTTCGAGATTATCGGTGAACAAACATTGGTCTTCACTATAAACATCATCATCTTCAAAACTCCACCACTAAGGAGGCTCAAGCTTAAAATTTTAATCAGCCCGCTAAGTTTAGTTAACTCATTCAGTACCGACCATTTTCAGACCCGTTTAAAAAAGGAAAAAAACTGACTTTCAGTCTTGGGGAAAAAAAGCTAGGAAAGAAAACCTAAGTACATGGGATTGAATGTGTCAAGTCTGAAAAGACAAATATGTCTTTGGGAGTGAATGAGTTAATTTAGCATCCTTGGTTCCTTTGAACGGTGCTTTCAAAATCCAAGCCATCATTATTATTATTATTATTCTCTTGAGGTTTGAAGTGGCTGCGTAGTGGTCCACGATAATGGATGGATGGATGGAATTGACATAAATGACATCTGAAGACGGCGATGGATTTAACGAACGAGACATTTTCCTCATGGGTGTTGTCACAGACACCAGATCAAAGTTAACATCTAGCGTGTAGAAAACAATCTCATATTTATGTTGTTCTTTTTTGTTCCTGCACTTCTACTACTTCTCCCTTCGTTCCTTATGTACTCACAGGCTCAAGATTGCAGATGCCCGATAAATATTCTTGTGTGTTGTCGCGCCAGATTAACAAGAAATGTTCCCTTCTTCAAATATTTCTCCTCATAATCAACCTCTTAACCAAGAGATGTCATGCAAACAAACGTGTGGCCAATTTCATGTTCGCAGCCGCAAATTGGTTTTCTGGTAGCCCAGAAATGCTCGATCCTTGCGACGTTTTACAAACCCTGATGAAAACCCAGAATTCGCGACGTGCGCAAGCATTCGCCACTCAGTGAGATACCTCCATTAAAAAAATATATACAGTCAAACCTCTGTTTTCGTCCATAATCCGTTCCAGAAGGCTGTTCGAAAACCGAAACCACGCTCTTTTTAAAATAAAAATATTTATTGAACACGTCTGCTCACAATGGAAAGCGACACGAGGAAGCGTCGCTTCCTCGTGTCAGGAAGGCGAGAGGAGTCAAATGGTGCATTCACGTATGCTCAGTTTGTTCGAGAACCAAAATTCAGTCATCATCCGAGGCATAAAAAACTCAATTTTTGGTCGAAAACCGATTTGTTCGAGAACAGATGTTCGAAAACCGGAAAATCGGTTCTTGACCAAACTGAGCGCACTTGAATGCACCATTTGACTCCTCTCGTCTTCCTTACACGAAGAAGTGACGCTTACTCGGGTAGCGTTCCATTGTGAGCAGACGTGTTCAATGAAGATGTTTTTTTTTTAAAAAGAGCGTAGGTTCGGTTTTCGAACAGCCTTCTGGAACGGATTATGGTCGAAAACTGAGGTATGACTGTATTCTCATTAGCATGCGCAAATTAGGCCCTCCAGGAATTTGGAATGTTGTCATCACAACAATTCACCAGCATTCAAACGATCCCCAGGAATTGGCTGGCACAAAATCAGGCACTTTTGGTTTCAACAATCAAAAAAAAAAAAAAAAAAAAGGCACGGGTATCCCCGAAGACCTGAAGGGTTTTGGAGGTAAAAATGTTGCATTACTTTAAAACTTGAATTCTCAGATTGGTCAGAGCAGCGCAGATCCAGAGAATCTTGTCTATGTGCGGTGCCAACGTAGTGGGCACTCCCTGCGAAAGTATCTTGTAAGTCATTAAGTGCTGAATGGCGCCTTGGATGCGATCTCCGGCGTGTGCAATGTAGTCGGTGGAGGAGGAGGAGGAGGAGGAGGAGGAGGAGGGGGAAGTGGAGGCAGGCCGGCCGTCATTTTTACCCAGCGACGTCACAACCAGTTTGACTTGCCGCTCAAAGAGCAGCTCTTTGATGGCGAAGCCCCCCTGAGTCATGACCTCATCCCCCGGCATGAGGAGGTGCAGTAATCCCGAGTCCCGCACCATGTCACGGTGGTCGCGGCGCCCAGTGTAGGCGGACGACATAAACATGATCAGGCCGCACGGGGCTACGGCCAGGAGGTACTTGACGGTGGTGGACGGGCAGCGACCCTCACGCTTTTGCAGGATGCTTTCGCTGTAGCCCACGAAGCAGGTCATGTTGGGAAACCGCTCCCTGAACTCGTTGGGCATGGTCGCTTGGATGATTTCCTTGGGTAGCCACGGGATGGAGTGGCGGAGGACCTTGGCCAGCATGTCGATCCAATATAAGACTATTTTGAGGGCTGTGCTCTCGGACGTGTGGAAGTACCTGCTCAGGTCGGCCAGAGGTCGGTTGGTCTTGAGCGTCATTAGTGTCATGACTACTTGGGAGCGCACAGACAGCGGAAAGCCACGCTTGGCGTAATGTTGCACCTTCACCACCAGCATGAGCAGCTTTTCCATGGATATACCCGTGTGGACCAGAGCAGCCTGGTCATTTTCAAGTATGAAGTGCTCACCCTCATGAGCGCCCGCGTCCGGGGCGGCCCGCGTGGACGAATAATTGTGGTCGCGCAGCCAAAACGCCTTACTGTCAAGTGGCGAGGAGTAGGTCACCTCATCCCGTAGATCGCGATCGTCTCGCACGGCGTCCAGCAGATGTGCGGTATCTGCGATCCCGCTCGGCTGTGAGGGCCCATCTAAAAATAACAGACAATGGATGTCAGCAATGAGCTTGCAAAATTCTGGGCTTTTTCAAAGTTGGCAACTACCCATGACAATGATTGGGAATTTTTAATTAGATCAGCTTGGATGAGGTCACCTTTATTTAGTCCCGCCATTGGCAAATTTGCACATGTATGTGAATGAACCACGAATTACAAAATAGAAGGTTGGCTCTTAATAGGGAATTTAAAGAAAATTCATGAAGCAGAATCCTGACTTTCATGCAAGTAATCCCGAAACTTGTTTTACGGTGCCCCCCACGTCCAAGTTTTTCCATTTACACGTCATCAAATTGTCAATGACATCCCCCCCCCCCAATAATCTGAATTTTAGAATTTACCGGAAATTTCCCATGAGTTTGCCGGAATAAAAGCAAAAAGCAATTATCGGTCGGGCCGATATTTGCAATTCTGACTCATATCAGCGTCTGCCTTCTTTAAAACGCTGCCAGACAATAAGGGATCATCTTCAAATTGGGTAAACCTCGGGGAGCTGTTCATTTATTTAAATTTTAAGTTGACTTTGTAAGCGATGCTCTTGAGCCTGGAACCTCCCTGTGCTGCTTTCGTTTTATTTTGAAGTTAAAACAAAGCAAAATAGAACATGAATATTTCTCTTACAAAAATCATAGATCCGAGAGATTTTATTTTCATCATCTCACCCAGCCCTAGCATATGGCAATCACTCACATGCATGGACAAAGATATGCTCGAATCAATGAAGAAAACCATTTCGGTCCTCTCATTCACTAAATAGGAGTGGGTTGTGGAGGCGCAAGATCATAAAAACACTTACGAGCTCGGGTGTGCTACAAACAATCATCAAACACCACAAGAGTGAGTTGCAAACAGAAACGAACATGAGAAAAGTGCATACAAAAATAATTTCCGATGTCAGATATAAAAGCCCAACATAAATGATTGATGCGTTGGATTATATTGTCCAAAGTAATTTTCTTCAAATTTGAAAAACAAAATCAAAGTAGACATTGCGGTGGTGGTGGTGGCGGCTGATGTGAGGGCACCATCCAATACTGGTGGACTGGCAATCTATTCAAATGCATGTGCGCAATTAAAAAAAAAAAAAAAAAAAAACAGCAACACAAAATCACTCACCTGACTCCTTCTCTGTCTGAAAGACAAAGAAAGAACACAACTACAGTATATATTTGGATGTAAACAGCGGGGGTGAGGCGGGCGTATGTCATTTGGGCATTTTTGTCACACTGAACAGTGCGCATGGAAATGGACACGAACATTTGACCATTTACCGCGATTGGACAGCAGGGTCCAAATTTCTACCTTCGGACTAATTCATTATTGAATACACTTTTATTTAAAAAAAACGAGAGAACCTCTCAAATAAGTGAAGTCACGAGGGAACACAGACACAGACACAGACACGCACACACACACACACACACACACACACACGCACACACACTTGTATCGACAGGTTAGATGGGTTAAGCCCCCTTCGCCCCGGCCCCCTTCGCCCCCCTCTTAGCTCCGAGAGCGAGAAAAATGCCTAGCATTCACGTGTTCCTTTCTCTCTGTGGGACACACGATTCACCTTGAGCAGTGACCTGCATTAAGATGAACAAAGAGACTGAATAAACCAAGGCGGTTTCGTACTTTTCCACATGATTATTCGGAGATTAAACATTTTTACTTGGAATTGTGTGTGCGTGTGCCCGTCCTCAGCTCCGTGTGTCATGTTCGCTATTATATTTCAATATGTATTGTCCATGCGTTTTTTTTTTCTTGTATCGGCATGTCGGTGTGCGCTGACCTCCTCGTTGTTCCACACGGCTGGAGCCCATAAGCGCCTCGGTCGGTGCCAGAGGCCGCTCGCGGCGCTCGGTTAACGGTACGGCCACCCGCGTTGATTCCAGTGGCCAGGCAGCTTCGTTGGGTCGCGCGTTTTTGACATTTTTCCGCCTGTTACAAACAAACAGTTATGGGCATAATTCCGAGAGAGTGGCTGAGAATTGTAAGCATGCAACCTTGCCGTGGCTCTAATTCTATGGCATTACACGCACATTTCCCCCGCTTGAGTTCGCAAGTGTCAGCGATGGCAGCCTTTGTCGTCTTTGTCCTCACGGTTCCTCCAAGGTCACGTAATGCGGAGATGGGTTTTTTTTCCAATTGATCACTCCTGATGACATCAGCTCGGGCTTCGCGCGGAAGACGGGCGATCGTTTGTGCAATGGTCGGACGTCTGGCAACCTTCTGTCCGCAGATGCAGTCTTTTGAAAAAGGAAATGCAAATTTTGTGACGCTCAGGCCAACTGGCCATTGGAGCCAATGAGCGACTTTGTCTTGCAACACGCCAGGTCCTAGCGCCCGCCCTAGTTTATTGTTTTTGCACAGCAAGTCAAAATCAGACGTACAAATCCCAAAATACTTAACTCATTCAATCCCAGCCATTTTCACCGGGGCAACCCCCTCAATCCCAGTTTGCAAGGCCCACAGAATATTTGGTTCTAATGCTATATAAATATGGAGCATACCAAAATAAAGTTTGGACTCTCTTCTTTCTGCAGAAAAAAAATCTGTTTCTACCTTTTTCCATTCTTCAGCAATCGGCATTACAAAATGGCTAAGTTTCATGAAAATGGCGATTCCTGGGCAAAAAACGGAGAAAAAGAGCTTTTTGTAAATGCGTGCATTTCAAGCACGTGAGGCACCACTGCCACCTACTGGTCGCTTTTTTACATGATTTACAATACAAACGGCTTATTCTCATTCAGATTGCATCACACCCTCCTTTGTATATCGCAAAAAAAAAGACTTAGCCGTACAAGTACGTCCTTGGTAGGCGGGGCCTAATTTTAAAAAGGCGTACAAGTACGTCTTGTGGATTGAAAGAGTTAAAACAGAAACCCAGTTTGATTGAAATTCAAATGTGTAGTATATTTCCCTGTTCTGCGGTTATCATGAAACATTTTGCGTGTTTTGCAGCCGAGACACTGCCGCACGAAGAAAACGTCCTGATGAAGGAGCAGCGCTACATGGGGTCCGCTTCCAACTCCGCGACGCCTCGGCCGTTGATGGCACGTAGTCGTTCCGAGTACGGCTACTCGCCTTCCGGAGCCACCCCCGTCCCGCGCCGAGTCGCCTCCAATCCCGCCGAGTTGGTGTCGGCACAGATGCTCCGGCGCGTTGAAGGTGTGCCGCGGAAGCTTCCTCGGCCGATTGGTTTTTATTTATTTTTATTTTTTTGTTTTGTTTGGTTTTATTAACACCATGGCACCTATTTAAAAACAAATAGCTAAATAATGATTCAGTTTGTGTGTTTGTTTGTTTTTTAAATGCTAATTGAAAATAGAAAGTCTAATCCACAAATTAATCCAATGTCACGATCCTGTTTCTCCGTTAAATGTTTTGATTGGGCTGCAGCTAGCTCCACCACTGGCCCAGAGAGCAGCGCCACGGAGAGGGAAGGGCGGCAGACGCCCACCAAAAACCCGGCGTCCTGGTCCATAGACGAGGTCATGCAGTTTGTGAGGGATGCCGACCCTGCGACGTTGGCGCCGCATGCAGAATTATTCCGGAAACACGTAAGTTAGCCTTTCAGTTTCTGAAAAAGTTAGCATTGCTATTTGATTTTGTTATTTTTAAAAAGGGTAAGTTAGCCGATGGTGTTTTTTTTCCAAAACAAATACGAAAATTAAATGTTGTTACCCAGATGTCTCGTACCCTAAAAAAAAATTACCCCAAATTAAAAAAAAAACATGTTCTTAAAACCCCACAAATGGAAAAAAAATCAAATCCCTTTAGCTGTAATTGAAAACAGCACTATTAGCATTCCAACCGCTAATTCCACCTGTGTGTGTGTCTGTGTGTTTTCTCAGGAGATCGACGGCAAAGCGCTCATGCTGCTGCGGAGCGACATGATCATGAAGTACATGGGCCTCAAGTTGGGGCCCGCCCTTAAGCTGTGCCACCACATTGAGAGGCTCAAGCAGGGCAAAGTGTGACCCACAACCAGGTCATGTGACTGACATCAAGCGCAACAAGAGGATCTCCAGCCTCCTCCATAGCGTTCTTATGACTTTTTCTATTATCCGCGGTCCTCCACAGAGAATGAAATATGTCTCCCGATGCGTTCCGTTACGTGGACGCACACCTTTGTCTAGTTGAACAACGTACGGGCAAGGGATGGGCACCATCATCAACTAAAGTGAACCCCTGTTGTTGGTGGGGAGTCGGAACCCAGCCGCGCAAGTAGAGAATATCTGCAACTCATTGACCCTTCTATCTAAAAAAAAAAAAAAAAAAAAGGTTGTAATTGCCACAAGATAACATCATAGCACTTTTTTTCCCATTTGACAAGCCTGACGAAATGCAGATCCTCCCTTCAGGTCAACGGAGTTGCTTGCCACCAAGATGCCGCCAAATGGTGCCAAACCAATATTTTTTATGTCAAGGCATGGCTTTGGCCTGAGTTTTTCCAGCGTATGGCAGACGATTGGTTTTCCCCCAAAAATCTGTGAAAATGCACATTTGTAAGTTCCGAAGCTCACATATGAGGTGTTTGTTGCGCAATGTTTGCAATGCATTTTTGTTGTAGAGCATAAATTAAATAAATAAACTTTCTAGTATGTTTGCTATCTAGTAACATAAAAATTATATGGGGGGTGGGGGGAGGGATATTAATTGATTGGAGTGATCTTCTTGGCTGTCACCCACAGAGGCGCTGTTGATTAACTCAACACGTTTGCAGCCTGAAGAAGAACATGACAGCCTGGCTATTTGTTACAAAGCTTTTATGATTTTCTGTCCAAACAATTGTTTAAAGATGTAAGCCTGAAAGATTTAAAACAATTCTGAGTAAAGTGAAGCTCTGCATATTCAAGTATTACCGTATTTTTCGCATTCTAAGGCGCACCTAAGACCATCCAATTTTCTCAAAAGCCGACCGTGCGTCTTAGAATTCGATGCGCCTTATATATATATATATGGGTCAATATTCTGATTTCTTGGACGTGGTCAGCCACGTCAATTGTCGTAGTAAGCCACGTCAATTGTTTACAACAAAATGATTTTTTTTTTTTTTTTTTAAACAAAACACAATTTTTAGTCATTCATAATATAAACATCATTTTGAAAAATGAAGCATCAATTGATTAAAAGGTGGTCAAATGCCCATCCCTGATGTTAACAATGAACTCACCACATGGTCATGAAGCAGTCCGACATTTCCTCAACGAGCTTAAATTTGACTTGACACTTGTTCGCGCACCATTCCTGGGTTTAACTACGATTAGCGTGCGGCGGAATGTACATTTTGTAAATGATCGTTTTTTTTTTTTAGCCTACATATAACTTGAAATAAAAAAATACTGCCCCGACGCGGCGCTCTTGCAAGCGACATCTCTCAGGTCCGTGTGGTCTTTTTTTAGCGCCAGCCCTTTGTTTTTTTTTAAACACGCGCACAGTGAATTTGCGATTTGGGATAAGGTTTTGTTTTTAACCTAGCCTAAAGTATTCGATACCTTATTTTGCTGTTTTTGAGAGGGTGAAGCGAGGTGGGGAGGAAATCTGTGAAATTGAACATAAAAACAGCAACGAGGTATGACAAAGGATCTGATCCCAAAAAAATTTTAAAAAAATGCAGATTCAGTGTACTAAACACTGTACTGTGCTGAGGGGAAAAGAAGGACACGCATTCGATGTAAAGAACTTTTATTAAAGTATTTCAGAAGCAAATCACACAACAAATGTTGTGATTTGTGGCACAGCTTTAGGGGTTGCCAAAACGAGTCACTCGCATGATCCGTTCCATTTTTACACGCTGTATAAATATTTTATTTATTATTATTTTTTTTTTTTTTACAAACAATAAATTAGCCAAGTCGATCAGATCAAACAAAGAGAAAATGTACAGTATAAATTATAATAAATACGGAGCTCGTACGTAAGGCTTTCATTTGTTCACCACAAAGATAATCACAATCCAACAGGCACAAAACCCTGTCGCCTTTTTCTTCTTGTTCACTAAACTACAACCACAAAGTGCACTCGGGAAGCTAAACAAACCGCCACGTTAGCGTCACCGCTAACCCTAACGCTAATCATAACTCACATACGTACGCATACAGATTAACGGCATGGCATCAGAACAAAATCACCTCCCAAACAAAGTTGTGCTCAAAGTTAAAGAGCACTTTTTTTTTTTTTTTGGTTAAAGTACAAATTCGCATTACCGACAGTCAGGTTACAAAAAGTACAACTTGCGTATCGGTTGGGATTAATTAAAAAAAAAAAAAAAAAGACTAAGAAGAAGAAAACGCCACCCAATGGAGCCGCCACATGCTTCTCAAGTGGGCTTTCGCAAAGCGCAAATTATGGATTTGTCCCAAACTCAGTCATATTGATCAGTGATTTCCCAATCAGTTCATCAGGATGCGTCGTGGTAAATTGCTCAAGTTTTGTTGATCTATTGATGCCGGTGACGTATAGTGACAGCAAAACAACTAAATAAGAGCTTTGTGCTCAACTAGACATGCCCGCATTTCACCAGACTAAGTCAATTTGTGAGTAAATTCAGACAAGCTTGTCAAGGATTCATTTTTAGTGACATTTTGGTTTGGTGCTAAGCCTGTTGTCTAAAACGAGTGTCTTGGCTCAATAAATGTTGGGAAACGCTGAAATATACTTCATCCTAAGAGGTTAGGGATATTTAGGCTTTGGGGTGACATTTCATGATGAACCAAAAATGCACGAAAACCTTTAAAAGGTGAATGCGCATGTCCAGGTGTTCAATGTGTCAGAATTTTTGGTACGGTTTTCCATTTTCGAACAAGGACTTTAAAAAGTCACGTTTCCGAGGACATACACTTCTATGCCTTTCCTTGACTCTTCCATTCTGCCTCTCGCTGTTGCAACCCAGTGAAGACACTATAAAGTTAAAGTTAAAGTATAAAGTTTCGGGCCTGTTTTACTGCCACTTCTGCCCCACTGGTCAGGACTCATCCGGTTTTTTGCAACCTGCTGATGACACGGTAAGATCAATGGCCATAAAGGAGCCTTCAGACAGGATGTTCTCGGGGGGAAAGTAGCCACCGATCCAAGAAGGTCACATCAACAGGTTTCAACGGGGAGACTGGAAGAGTCACAGAAAGGCAAAGACATGGATAGCCTTGGAAGTTTTCATGGACCTAACACCTGTTGTGAATTTCGACCTCGAGTCTCTTGTTAGAGAACGGCAAGTTGTACACACAGAAGTGAAACAATGAACAGCTGGACATGTGCGTTGACAAGGTTCAACTGCAATGCATTTTAAGTTCACCCAAAAGTCCCCTCTGGCAGACTTTTTACGATTAGATGTGCCTTGGAAACAGTGAAACATATCCCGTAGTGCCGTTAACGTGGACGTAAGGCATATGTAAAAAAGGAAAAAGCCCTTGAGTGTGCACTTGAGCAAACCCTGCTTTTGTGTAACCAGTGTGTTCCAGTGATTGTTGGGCTCCTCGAGGGGTCGCCGTCGCTTACTTCCTGGGTAAGAGCGCCGCCAGTCTCTGCTTCTTGATGGGCAGGAAGTGGATCTCCTGCGAGCTGACTTTCTTCAGCTTGATGGCTCTGTTTTTACCGTGGACCTTCTTAAGGGATGCGCTGGGACCATGCTGGGACGCCGGAGACCGGGGCGGCGGCACCTCAAAGAGCTGGGGCGGCCTCCCCTGGCTCCCGTCTCGTTTGATGGAGAAGTTCTTAGTGGACACTCCCGAGAGGCCCTTGATCTTCCCGCAGAGGATGGCCGGGATGGCATCCTTGACCGAGACGATGACCTTGGCCGTCTGTGGGGTGCCGACGATCTCCAGGTTGGGCGACCCCGCCGGCCCCAGGGAGGAAGACCCGCCCACACCACCATCCACCATCCACTTGTGCTGACGAGTGAAGTCCAAAGACGTCAGACTGCCCAGGATCTTAGAGTCAAGACTGGCGCTACGTTCCAAAGACCGCATGGAACCGCGGGACGGGGCGTGGTGTTTCTGGGCAGCGGGTACCGACAAGTCCAGCACGCCATCTTGCAGCTGTGGACTGAGGTATTCCTGTTTGGGTTCGAGAGGACATGGTCCTCGCATAGACAAGTCCAGAACTTGCGGGGACGAGCTTTTCTGCACCGCGTCTTGCTCTCTGGGAGTCTGAGTGCTTTTGGTTTCCATGCAGATGGCTTTTGGCAGGTTGCTCTTGGAGTCCTCGGTCTGGGGAACAGGGATGGGTAGTGGGATCGGCAAAGGAACCGGCAGCGGGATGACCACAGGGTACGGGACCAGGAGAGTCGCGGGCGGGACTAGTGGGGCCAAGGGGGACGAGTAGGTGGGCGGGACATATGGGGGGCCAAGAGATTGGCAGGTGGCGGGACCGGTCTGGGGCGGGAAAAGATCCTGTAGAATTGCGGCAAAGGCGGGGTTCTGGAGGAGGGAGAACAGGTTGGCATCCTGCGTGGCTGCCGCCGCTGTTTTTTGCTCCAGGAAAGACAACGGATTGGGACACATGATGTTGTTCTGTGGGATCACAGCGGGATCCAAGACCAGCGGAAGGGAGACCTGGTTGGGGCCTGTCAGCAAGTAAGGCCCTGCCCCCATTGGACCCAGTTGGGGCCCGGGGGCCGCCGCCATCTGGAGGTGGATGGGTAGCATCAGTGGGTTGTCTCCCAGACAAACAGGATGTAGGACGGTGGTGGCCATTTTGACAGCCACGCCGCTCGGTGGAGCGCCGGCGGCGTCCGCTCCCACCGTTGACCCTGGCGTCTCTGCGAGGTCTACCTTGCTTAATCCCACTGTGCCGCCGGACTCCTGGGAAGCAGGCGGAATTACGCCTTGGTCCTCTTTGACTGGAATTTCCGCTTCTCCCGCCATATCGGAACGGGCCAATTCATCAGATGTTTCCATATTTCCAAGGATTTGAGTCTTCATTCAGTGCCTTCACGCTTCCATTGTCCTTCTAGGAAAACCTGAAACACAAAACACACGAGGTGTTTTGGTGGCTCAACAATCCCGTCTCTGGTAGCCTTCCACACGTCGGCCTGTCCTCTGCGTGTCAAGATCCGAGTGGAAGATCCGATGACACACGGGTCAATTATTCATGACTGGGGGGAAGGGCGGCAACGGGACATACAAATGGACGACATCTTTGTGACGGACGTGCTTGTTCGATTCAGATTTTAAAAAATTGGGTGGGTTGTGTCTGGAAGGGGAACCCGGTGTGGAAACTGTGCCAAGAAAATCATGCCAGTGACTCACAATGGTGACCCCTGGTGGGGCAGGCCGGAGGTCACGGCAACAAGTTGAAGTGTGTCGCAAGCATGTAGCCGAGGTAACACGTCATCTGTTAGATGTTTGTGCTGCGGCTAATTGAGTGAAGAAAAAGCCCTCCACTGTCCCTGTAACTGTAATTATTTCCACATTCACCCCCCACCCATCGACTCCTTCAACCCTCGCCTCAATGATGTAATTTATGCAAGCAGGCAGGAAGAAAACAACTGCCTCAAAGGGAGTGTAATTTAAAGGGAAAACTGAGGGGAAAAACGATCTGCACTGAATCCATTGGTCGAATGAGACGCTCCTCCAAGAGGAGACTGTGGGCAGCCATAAAACAGAAAAGGGAAGGCTGCGGTGCAAATTACATAATGCGGCATCCAAAGCTAACATAAACATGAGTGCATAGTTTGGTCATTTCGAGCCGTGTGTTCTTCAATTATACAATCTGCTCAACCAATGAGATAAAAACATTTATGAAGATGACTAACAACTACGTTGTTTAAAAAAAAAATTAAAGTATAATGATTTTATTTTAATCGTGTATTATCCTAATTTACTATTATACATCCTCATTTGAACTCTTATTTGGTGAAACAACTGTTTTATTCATTTTAATTAAAAACAATAATGTTAAAAATGAGACAGAATATGTTGACATAAACTGTACCGCATACGAGCGAATTTATAATTAAATTAACTACACATAATAAAAAGAATTGTTTTGTATCCAAATCAATAATTTACGTCCATGTTTGACCTTTTCTTACTTTATTAAATGTCTCCATTTCACAAAAATGAATTATAAATACCATTAAACCAGAACTTTCAAAAAAATAACAGTTTTGGTTAAAGAAATTATACATAATTAAAAATCAACATATTAAAATCAACTATTATACATACACATGACTGTTACTTGTGTCAATAAAAGGACAGGTACATGACTGAATTTCTAGAATCATAAATAGTAACGTAAACAAAAATGCGAATAAAATATTTTTGTGATTCCAAACAAACTATTTGACATCATGCTTTGCGTCACATACGAACTTGCTGTCGTCAAAGGTAACATTTTTTTTTTGCCGTCGTGGGCGTCCAGGGCGACGACTTTGACAGTAACTGGGGG